TAATTTCCCGACCGGCGGCCGCACTGTCCGACCTATGTCGGCCATTATCACTTATTAAACGACCGACACAATGTTACCAGTGTCTGATTTCATTCAACACTCACACACGGACACACTTTTGTTTGTATGTGTGTACTCCCTCCACCTCCCCACACACACACACACACAAACACGTACACTAGTGTGTAAACGTAAAACCATAGCGAGTAAAACCATTTACATTGTATCGTAACAGTAGTAAATAACAGTTACGGGATCGTTATTTTATAAATATCGATATGAATCTTATTCAAAAACAGAATTTTTTCAATGAGTACATTTGATGTATGTTTGGGATCAATATCGCACACACACACACACACACACACACACACAGCTACATAGTGTGTGTGAGTGCCGTGAAGGGCACACCGCGGAAGTGTTGTCTCTGCTAACTGGACTGTTTTACCGTTTTACATATTATACATTTTCTAATTGCTCTCGTAATTTCAACGGTCATTGTTTCGTACATGCGTAATGTTCTACAATCATGTCTTTATATAAAGCGCCATTCATTCCCCTCTATATACAAAACTAAAACACTCCTGTGTGGTGTATCATAATTTTATACCATGTTATAAAATTATAATTAAAATGTAAAATAAACCTACATACAATAATCAATAGAATACAAACAACAATTGTGTCATATATATTTCGCAGTTAATATTTAATATACATATATTTTGCAATTAATATTTTGCAATTAATCCTACTAATATTATAAAGTTTGTGAATGTGTGTGTATGTTTGTTACTTCTTCACGCTCAAACGGCTGAACCGATTTTGATAAAATTTTGTATACAGGAAGCTGACGTCCAGGAATAACACATAGGCTACTTTATAAATGCGAAAGTAACTCTGTCTGTCTGTTAGGCTTTCACGCCTAAACCACTGAACTGATTTTAATGAAATTTGGTAGAGATATAGCATTGACCTTGAGAAAGATATAGGATAGGATAGGATAGTTTTTATCCAAGACTTTTGGAAGGTTCTCTTGGAAACATGATATAACTGAACTCCATGAGGGAGTATTTAATAAAGCAATATATAAAATACTCAACATTAAATATTTACTTATGATTTAAAATGAAGTGTTCATTTATAATTTCAAATTAACAGCTCTGAACTATATATATATGAAAGTATCAAGTATAAACAATATCATTGAAAGATATAGTTCTTAATTTCATCTATCATCTGTTTGTTCTGACTAATGTTTTTAATTACTACATCTGCACACCAATTTATAATTTTAGCCACAGGCATTAAAGAGTAAATTTCATTAAGTACTTCTAATAATATTTCTCAAAAAGCAGGATATTCTATTTTTTTTTATTTTAAAGGGTGTTGTCCGAAAGTAATTCCACTGCCATCAAGTCAGCATATATGAAATGATTCTTGATAAATTAAATACAACCTACAAGGTTGAAAAGGTACACATTTTTTTAGGGTGTTTTGTATGCTATAAAAGCCACAGGCAACATCTAGTACATAATATAAGTTAATTTTTTCATACATTACATATTTCAAATATGAAACTTCGAAAAAATAAAATCATAAACATGGTTATTAATGATGATCTCTTAATTAGTATAGTTATTATTAATTCAAATATTTATGTTTTTATTAATTATTTTACTACTTTTTGCATCTAGAATATGTTCCTATTTTTTATTTCATTTGTTCAATTCTTTAGTCACCTTCAAATTCTTATACATTGCAGATTTAAAACACATTGATTTCTTAAATTTTGTTTGTGCAATATCAGAGATTACATATATATTGTAATACATAAATATAGTGTATATAATATGTTGACAGAGGATATTGAATAATAATTTGGACATATAAATCGAATATTCTCAATAATTTTTAAATAATTTAAAAACTCGAATCAAATGGACATGATCAGTTATAACTTATAAGTTCTTATCTCTTTGGAATTTCCATAAATATTTAAAATTATACCTGTTAAGAAAAAACTATTCAGTACAAAACAAAACATTTATGACTATATACTTCTCAAACATCATATGAATATTGGTATTTATTCTCCTATTAACTTACAAATACAATAAGTCATTAAACAATAATGATCATCTATTGTCTTTAATACAAAATTATTTAAAACAAAACTTTAATTCCATCATATTCATCAAAAACATACATTATTATAGAAAGAAGGTCGCTGTATATGAATATCAACATTTGTAACACACAAATATATTAACGGACAGAGTAATTTCAATCATATGTTGTTGAATTAGAGCAGAAAACTGTATGACGTGATCTCATTACATGTTAGTGATGCATCTGATCTGATAGTTTAGGTAAGACATGACTAGTTACATAAGACTAACTCATAACTGACTTACTCTCAACTCTACTTAGTCAACCTGTACTATTACCCATGAAAATGAAGTATAACATTTTTGGTAGATATATTGTATTCATTTCCTAGTTGAGTTTACTATTCTTGCCATCAAATAGTATATATTAGTGAGTATCAAACTTAACACACATTTTAAATACTTTACATTTAAAAATAAGAAAATTAAGCAAAACTATTAAGTATCATTCTTAAGTATAATTAATATTCAACAATAGATCATAAAAATAACTATTTAGCTTTACCGTCTGCTTGCAACATCTGTATATAAAAATTTTACTATGTACTTGTTTTTAATTACTAGAAATATTAGTTTTAAATGGCGCATTGTACATGACTGATAGCGGTGGACCCTTAATATTATAGTATGTCAGAACATATAATGTTTTCCATAACAAGTAATGTACTGACAGTGAGCAACGATTATTATTATAACGGCCAGATTGTTTGTTCTTGTGATAACGATTTACAAATTAACAAGGGGGAATGGAATTCAAATGAAAATTATTACTGCACCAGTCACCTCTTTGTCATGCGGTGACCTAATCTATTTGCTCTGTTTGATAACAAATTTTCGATAGACTAAATAAATTCATATCAGACACCATACGGTCCTTGGAGTTATGTATGAACTAATAACTTTAAAGATATGCGAAATTGATGTCAGTGTCTGAGACTGGTGTCTACCTACGCAACTTGTGTCACGATTGATCTCGCAGGGTCAACCTCTAATTGCCTCCGAGTGACCTACGACCCAGGCTACTCTACGCCGCTGCATTTCGTAATAGGTCGCAACCAAAACAATAATACACGACACACTTTCCATGCCAGGGAGTGACTTACACACATTCGAGTATTCATCGAGTTTTACTTTCTCGCTTACGCTCAACATACACACTCTAAAACGCGTGAGACAAAAAAAGTCTGTCAAAACTTTTAACAAATTATTTAAACACTTCATATTCAAATTATAATACTTTATTAACTTTAATTCTTATCGTATAATTGTGTTAATATACAAAACTAAGCTAGTACTAACCGTGGTCGAGTAAACATAAATCCAAAACAGCTAACAAGTTGATATTCTTCGAGAAAACAAGACACAAAACACTGTTTAAACTTATATGTGTGTTATCACAAAGTGAGCACATAAAAACAAAACATGCACTGAGACGGAACACGACAAATAACACTAAACACTGATGATTAATGTTTATTTACAATATTAATCCTTCGATAGAGCACATATTAAACGGGACGTCTTTCGCAGTCCAACGAGTTTCAGCCATTTTTGATTTAGCATATTAAAGACTAAATGTTGAGTGACAGTGTTGTCATAGACAATGTATTCTTTGTTACTTATTTTACTTCATTTATATTGGAAAGATTGGCTAGCAAAATATTTTATACCTACCTATAAATTAAAAGAAAGCCATGGATAATAAAATTAATCTACAAACCACTTAAAAAAGGTATTTAAGAATATTATATTTAATCACTACATAATATTATATTCTTTTATTAAAAATGGGTTTACTTTTAAAATTTACCGTTTGACATATTGCAAAATGATATGGGTGTACAATATTATTTCTGTTGAATAAACATTTCTCTTATAAATTGTATTTGTACTATGCTAATAAAATATAAAATAACTTTAAATATAGACCTTTACCATGGATTTCAAATATACTGATTATTTATTTTATTTTCTGTTATTAATGGTAAGCTAGAATATTAAATTGTTGTCCTTAAATTTTAAATTTGAATTCTAATTATTTGATCATCGTTTAGATACAAACAGTTCAAAGAGTTTCAGGAAAAGCATTCATCGAAAATAAACCAGTGACCACTACAGGTTCATATAATAATTTATCATCTAGAAATAAGTAAATTTTCCTGTGTGATTGATAATTTTTAAAACTTCTCTAGAACAGCAAATATTTCCAATGGGCTTCGATGAAGTGTATAATGATGCTGCTAATGTGCTCGGTAATGTTGTGAGGAAAATCATATCAAAGAAACGTTTACTTGGTCTAGACTCTAATTGGTACTGGTAAATTATATTCGACTATCTGCAATAAAGAAATTGGAAATATATAATGTTTTTATTGCTATTTCTATTACTTCTTTATAAAAGATCAAGTGAAGCAAATTTTAAGAATAAACTTTGATATTCAAAAAAATAAATTTAAAGATAATTTTTTGACATTCAAATATAATGATTGGTAGTTTATGGTAACCATAAATTATTGGTCCTTTTTTTAAAATTGAGACCAATATTTTATACCTATTATATATATTTATTTAAAATATAATTTTATATTTATTCTTTCTTCATCTTTTAAACATTGAAATTCCGTACTATTTTAAAATATTATAAATATTGTACATTAAATTTTTGATAAAAATTATGTTCGTACATAGAAAATGGCGGTGTCTTGCAAACTTGGAATTAGGATTTCAGACTCGTAGCGTTCTTGAACGAAAAGTTGTGAAAGCCCGCGTATATTTTGATTAATTTATATGTTTCAAATTAAAATATATTTTAAAGTTATAATTTTTAAATATGTATGAAGAAATGAACTTAAAAATTGTAATAGCTAATATACTTAATGAGAAGCGATATAGCCATTGTAGGTTATGTTTTAAAAATCTTACGGAACAATATGTTCGCTTTGATGATGCGGTATCATTGCACCCGGAAAGTGGTGTATTTCAACCCCTATCCGAAATCTTACTTAAACTATTGGGCGAAAATGTAAGTAGCAATTTCTTTTGCTTATAATTTTCCTTAATCTTCTGTCTAAAACCTTAAATTGGCAGAGAAAATTTGTTTGGTAACAAGTAACTAACCTCGATGAATACCTAATCAATTATTGTCATATTTCTTGAAATATGTTAGGTTTTTTCTTTTTACTTAAATCAGTAAACTTACCTTTAAACTTATAAGAGTATTCCAACTCTACACATAGAATCAGCACTGAGGAAATTGTACATTAGAAGAATTCTATGTCCTATACAAGTTACCTTGACTTTAATGATCATTTATAAATATTTTTCAGATATGTGAGGAGATAAAGGGTGTTGAAGCTGTGTGTACAGATTGTGTGGACAATGCACTGTTGTCAGCCCGCTTTGTAGAGAAGTGCCAAAATTCAACACAAGCCTTAAATGAAGTGTTCAATAATATGAGCAATACTTTAGATGTGGATATAGATAATAAAGACAACAATAAAACATTATATGTTGTAATAGAAGATCTAGAGTCTAAACTATTAGTAGTAAAGAAAACGGATGAAAGAAACAGTGATCAGGGAACATATGAATGTGAAGTGTGCACGGATAGTTTTGATACATTTACAGAATTAAAAGTACATAATTTGACCAATCATGGTACTTTGACATGTGATAAATGCTATGATACATTTGATAGTAATACTGAATTTTCCCTTCACGAGAGCCAGCATCATGTTTATAAATGTCCGGAGTGTCCACAATACAGAAACACAGAAGAAAGTTTAGAAGACCACCAAAACAGGCTCCACAATGTTTTCGTGTGTAAGGAATGTGGAAAACGATGTCGTGGCCTGTACAAGCTGCAAGTACATGAAGAGAAGCATAAGACGAAAAATTCATGCCCTAAGTGTGGAAAGTCTTATACAACGAAGGAATTCTTTGATAGGCACGTCAATTTATGTCTCAACAACCTTATAGATCCTCATCCGATTAGAAGCAGCATGGTTAAATCATACTCATGTGAGAAATGTGATAAGGCTTACAGTACTGCCGGGGGGCTTAGAGTGCATAACAGATTTGCCCACGGAAATGCTAAGCCACATGAGTGTAAGGAATGTGGGAAACAGTTCACCGCTCCTAGCTATTTAAAAGTTCATATGATAAAACATACAGGCGAGAAAAACTTCAAATGTGATCTTTGTCATAGTAAATTTGTATCCAAAGAGGCGTTATTGTATCACACTCGACGACACACTGGTGAAAAACCTTACAGTTGCAAATACTGTAATGAAAGATTCGTTAATGCCTCAACAAGGGCTGAGCATATCAAATTCAAACATGTGGGACCTACATTAATGTGTGAAATATGTTCTAGAAAGTTTGTCACAAGTCATTTCTTGAAGCAACATATAAATCGTCATCACGATCCTACAAGTAAACTCTACTATGGCCGGAATATGATCCCACCTAACTTGCCGCTTCAACAGAACATGAAAAAGGTTGTTATACACAACTGAAGGTTCTGGCCGTTGTTACATTGTAATAATCTAAACAAATTTATTATAATGTTTTGTTTGGTTTTGTTTAAGATATTAATAAATTGTTTGTATAATATGTCTGCTTTTTCTTTATGACAACCACAAATAATAAGAAGTCTTAGCTTGAATATTATTTATTTTTAATTGAGCTATAATACAATATTAGTCAGTAACATACAGCTTGCTTCCAGGATTAAAATGCCTTTTAATATGTTTCCTTAATTGATGTTTTGTTGTGAACTTTCCTCTACAAATTCCACATTCATGACTCGGTCCAAAGTGCTTCCTTTTCTTGTGTTCCATTCTTCTAGAAGCTGATAGAAAGCTTTCATCACAAAGATCGCAAGGGAAAGGTCGTTCACCCGTATGTAGTCTTGTGTGATACACTAATGCAGGATATGTTACAAATTTACCGCCACACTGATCACAATGAAATTTCCTTTCTCTTGTGTGTTTCACAATATGATTTTTCAGTCTACTTATAGCATCAAACTTTTTATTACACCATTTGCAAGTTAACACATTTCCGAAGCCATGATCTATCTTGAGATGTGATCGCAATCCATTTTTTCGAGCATAACACTTCTTGCATATGTCACAGATGAAATTTTGTTGCTCCATACTTTTACCACAACATTTGAGATGTAATTTGAAAGTTTGTCTGTTTATGAATTTTTTATTACACCGCGGACATATATTTGTTTCATGTTTATCTACGTGTGCTCTAAGAATTGTTCTAGATGGGAATTCTAAATTACATAATTTACAATATACTGCTACATGATTATTTCTTCTGTGAATGTTTAATAATTTTTCTGTACTAAATCTCTTTGAACACTGGTCACATCTCAGTCTCTTTGGAAAGTGAAGTCTTTCTATGTGTTCTTCTAATTGGATTGCCGTAGAAAATATTTTAGGGCACTGTGTACACGGATGATTCAATTTGTTATGTAATTTCTTATGTTTTGTAAGCACTCGTGCTGTAAAAGTCTCTCCACAATCATTACAAACAGACTCTTTACTCCTCTGTTTAGCCTCAATACCTGTTTTTATAATATGTTTCACTTTCAAAAGAATATCTTTCTTTTTCACCGTTGAATAGCGTTTACGACTTGAAATAATAACTGTGTCATCATCATTAATGAATACAAAGGCACTTTGAACATTTTGGTGGTTTATATCCTTTGATTTATCTATTGATTGATCCAGAAGTTTTGTTATACTACTCCACTTGTCGTGTGAGAAGCAGACTAGCTTCTGAAACAAGTAGCAGTTTGATGTGATCGTTGCACAACTCTTACAGATAGATTGCGGGAGATGAGACTCTGGTGGAATCTAGAATTAATAATTAATTATCATCAACATTACATCGGCAGTCGTATACGAAAAAAGTTATAAAAGTTAAGTGTAACTAATACTCACACCGAGATTTTCGAGCATTGTTGTATATGAAAGGGAATTTGAATAGTAATTTGTTCGTAATGTTACTACTTCATTCAAAAATACTTCAGATTTAGTAGTAGTACTTAAACACAACCGACAAATGTGATGATTTTCATCGCATATATAATTAAGTGCTGATAGAAGAATTTTATCATTTGGTCCCATATTTGCCTTTTACATCAGGTAGTCTTTATCTCAGCACATTAATAAGTTTTCAAAGTTGTTTTTTCTTTCTATGCTATTGCTTCATTCCTTTAAATTGTTGTATTCGTACCTTATAAACAAAACTTAATGACGTTGACGTATAGACAAGGTGTTGAAACTAGAAAATAAACTCTAAGTACAAATGAATTTTTTAGAAAGGGACTGTAGATACTTATTTATTAAGAATTTAAGTTCAACGTTACATATAAGTTACGTTTCTATATCTAGTGACACTATGCAAAGTTTGAAATTCTCAATATTATGTTAGGTATATAATCAGATAAAAAGTTATTATATCTATAGCAATAAATTTTTTATAGCCGTACTGAACCTACAAAAAGATAACATTAAAAGCTTATCGTTAGTTACTTTGTTCTGCTGGACTAGTTTACACTATCTAATGCATTTTTCTTGTTCGGAATACTTATAGAAATTAATATCTTTAAAAACAATTATTAATTTTGAATGATAATAGTCTTTCAGTGATGTCAACACTTATAACAGTGAGTCACTGTTTATTTGCGACTAGAGTCGGTACATATAGGTAACTTGGAGTTTGGCATTTGTCTACTTGCATCGTAATACAACGAGATACTAGGAAAACTCTCGATTTTTTATGTATAATTAAAGGCTGTTAATATTCTTAAAAAAGGTAAATTATCTCTAAATTATTTTTATTTCTCTTCTTCTACATACTAAAAATTGTGTTTAGATTTAATGTAATCAGAAAATAAATGGGAACATTATCTTTATCGTTGAATTTTAATTTATTAAAATTATCATTTTGTTATAGATGACGTCTTCAGTTCTACCAGTAACATTAACAGGATCTAATTTAAGTAGTCGACATCGTGAATTTAATTTGATTGTAAACAGCAACTACACAAATATCAATTGCGAAGATGTAGAATCAATGCCAGAAATATCTTCGATTGATCGCTTACTGAAAATCGATATCGCCTCCAAGCAAAGGCGAGTTGAATACATTTTAAGAAATCTTAAAGATGATAATATGCTATTCGTGAGTAGAGCGTTAAAATGCTTCTGGCTTTTAGAACCCCAATATCAAAATATAATGAACCCTGAGTACTTAGAAGGTTCTTTATACCCGGATATGGTTCAGCCGGCCGTGAATAAAATGAAGCATTGGCTGCAGATACATCTAAAGGATCCGGAAAGATGCGAACTATTTTATAAATATTATAAATCGGACTTCGATGCAGCTTTTAAATTCCTCTGGCACTGTTCCAATCAATTTATTTTAAGCGAGTTTTCAAACATTATAGACAAATTATCCTACGCGCAATTAAATTTACTCGTAGAAAATTGTCCTCAAGTTGGCAAAATGTATTTTGAAATATTGCCTTCTAATTCGGCAGCATTAAAACTTTATGTAAAAAACGAACACAATTACTTTAGCTGCGTTAAATATATATTTAAATGGGACGGCGAAGTGTTTTTGGATATTGTTGAAAATTACTTTAATACAAATGCTTTTAGACCTTTTGGACCGTCATTAACAAATCGTATCATGAAGAAATATAAGGATAGGATTTTTGATAAATGCGAGTTATATGTTTCGTCAATACTTCATATAAACTCTTTAGCGCAACATTTAACCGCTGAAGAAGCGAAAAAAGTCGTGCTACGACTCGCCCAAGCTGAATATTTAAATTATTGGTTTAATTATCAAAAAGTAGAACCTTTGATAAAACGACTTAAGAAGGAAGACAGATCTGAGTTCAAGAAACATATTTTTGTGGATAAGTCGTTCCCAAAAATAGAAAAATGGCCTTATCCATTACCTTCCCCACCAACATATGAAGACGAACATAATTTGGATATTTTTAAAGATATCTCTGATGAACTATACATGTTCGAATTAACGGAAGACTGTGGTTCAGGATTCAGACGATTCATTAAAAAGAAATCATGTAGATACAGTCACGCCTGTATCGAGGACTGTATGCCGATGAAGACTCAGTTAGAACGATTGTTTAACCGATACCGCTTAGCCGGTTTTGAAAAAACTTTCTACGAGCTGAGTAAGAACTTGAAAGCTGAAAGTTCAGTTGAAAGGAGGCTCGACATGATGTTGGTCCTTATAAGTAAGAGCGGCGGGGTTCCTGCTCAGGTTGGCAAGCTGATGAGGCTGTTGGCAGAAAAATATAAAAACGAACCGACTAACGTCCGAGCAGCTGTTGTTAGGTCGCTTACGAAACGTTGTTGCGCTTGGCGCTTACCGGAAGATGTTTGGTCTTTAGTTTTAGAGTTCGGTCGAGATGTTGGCCTCGACGGAGCCGAATCGAGTCCTTTGTGTCGCGAAGGACTTCACGCCGTTATTATAAGACATCTCCTAACCGACACTCCGATGTCATCAACGTTAGTTGCTGGTTTTATGCGTGAATTTTCGAAACTTTCTGAATATAAATTGGATGCAGAAGAGAGAAAGGTCATCGCTCATCGATTGCCAACTTTGGTGTTGCCTTTAAATCAAAGTTCCTTTTTGGATTGTCTATCCGAGTACAAAATTGATATAAAAGAATTTCCAGAAGCAAAGAAAGTCATTCTGGATTCTGCAAAGAAAGATACTAATTTGCTTCTACGATTATACAACAGTAAAATATTTCGCCGTGAACTGTTTCGCGAGGTATTCTGTCTGAGGCAATCCGAAGAAGATTATCTAAATGTGTTGCGACATGATGTTACGCCTTTTGAGAATGGCGTTAAGTTCGCTACATTAGTCGCTAAGGAACGACCAAAACACGATCGTTTTCTCCGATTACTTAACGTATACTTCGGTGAAGCGAACGGTTTAGCGGAGAAACACAGAAAAGCTTTAGAAGAAGCATTTTCTCAACAACCTCATCCTCGGTTCGCGAGACCATTATGTACTGTAATGTCTGGTCAAGAATTCATTTCTTATTTGTGTACTTTAGACACTATAGAACGTCCTCTAGGTTTGGAACAGTTTCAATCGTTACACGAGTTTCGAGCTAACGCCCATAACACTAAAGACTCACTAGACATCAATTCAATAGATTGGAAATGGATCGGCACAAAGGCGGTCTATAATAAAGTATCGATATGTAGATCTAAAGAAAAAGAGCAGTATATAGAAAAATTGTTGAATTGGAAGCGTACTGCTAGAATAGCATTACGGGTATCTATGAATACACCATCTGATATCAATATACTTCAAGCAGTTTGTACGTTGAGACCGTCAGCAGTGTTGAAGGTGGCTTTGTCGAGTTATTTAAAACAGAATATCGTAAATATAGCAGTATGGGAGGTTGTTAAATCAGTCATCTTTAAATTGGATCTCACCAAAAATAAAAGACTGCTAACAGAAATGGTAGAACGTGAAAGTTTGCCGGAGAATATAGAAGCCGAGTATTGGACGTGTATGTACAAAGTTCTTGAAAAAACGCAGAAAAAGAAAGCCATGCCTATTTTATGCCGCTTGAATAATATGTTTCACAAAGTGGATTCCAACTTCTTCTCTGAAATTATTAAGGAATACATCGAAAAGGATTTCAATATTTTTGAAGAAGAGGAACATAACGAGACAGTAAAAAAAATGTACATTAAAATTATTGCAAAATACTTAATGTTCTATCCCGAAGAAAGCTGCAAGGAAAATATTTGTGAAAGCTTCTTTAATGTTTTAAATAAAATGGAAGACAAAGATAAGGTTCTAGATTATGTTAATATCTTCATATTTAATTTGAAATATTCAAAAGCTTTCATGGAAAAAGAATATTCGACATCAATGAAGATCTTTGAAGAGATTCTTCGAAGATTGCGCGAAATCTTCCCTACAGATCAGTATTTCAATATATACGCCGATATACATTTAACTATGTTGTATTACAAAGCAATCAATCAAACTATGAAAGTTGATAAAGAGGTTTTTAATGATCTCCAAAAAGCAATAGAAGTCGTGGGACATTTATTTGGAAAATACATCGGGTATGAGATCAAGGAACTGGTCGGTCGATACTTTTGGAGTGTCATAGACTTGTATAAACAAAGGGTAGTGGAGTATCTCCAGTCATTCGAGTACAATAACGGCAGGTCGTGTTTAGTCACTTTCGTGATCAAAGGTATTCTAGACGTCGGTACTGTCGAGTCGTTAATATTAGCAGAACATGTAACTCGGAGGGAAATACATTATAATATTCGTGAACCACACAAGGAGGAGATCTTGAATGTGCTCAAACAGTCTGATAATAAGGAAGTCAAATTCTTTCTGTACGCTGATATATTACGTTAACTGTCGTACAATCAAAATTATATAACAAATCATGACACTACTGTGGTGCTTGCTTCTAAGATTATAATCCATTTTTTTTTAAATATACTTCGTTAAAATGTTCGTAAAGTATTTGTTTTTATATTAACCCCACCTAAAATATTAACGTATGTATTTATGAACATATTTTTTGTTCGGATCTGAATAAATATCTATGTTAAAATTATTATAAAAACATAAGGACTGAAGTTTACTTTGATAAATACCTTTGCTCTAATTTACTTTCAACAGATTCATGTTCATTCAATATCTAAGTAACACTATATATTTTATCAATTATCAGTATATTTATTACACAGCGTTATAATAACAAGACATTCCGTTTGTGCAACATTTTATTATAAATATAACTTACATAGTTAAAATTAACAGTAATACATAAACGAGTAATCAAGCCCAACAATATAAAGTTACTTCTCTTTGTTTAATGCCTCTATAAATTCTTCTAATTTTTCTTGTACTTGTCTTACTCGTTCTGAAAAAAATACATAGTTATTAAACAAAAATATTTAAAATATTTTGTATGATATTGTATATAATGTATACTGACTCAGTTCTTCAGCGAGTTCAACTCTTCTTCCTGATAACAGTTTCTTCTTTAACTCAGGGTCTGCTGCCATCTGTGGGTATGAAATGGAATCAATTACATTGTATCCCTACTAATATTATAATTGCGAAAGCAACTCTGTCTGTCTGTTACGCTTGCACGCCTAAACCACTGAACTGATTTTAATGAAATTTGGTACAGAGATGGAGTTGACCTTGAGAAAGAACTTATGATAGTTTTTATCCCAGACTTTTGAAAGGTTCTCTTTCAAACGCGATATAACCGAACTACACGCGGGCGAAGCTGCAGGCGGAAAGCTAGTTATCTATATATATTTATATTATCTATGGTTGTGTTATATATATGACTTATAAAGGAATTCAGTTGATTTGTTTCATATAAAAGAAATAATGATCGGCCAGTGCTGTATAGGGTAGTGCTTGTGACTGAATGTGAGGACGGCAGAAAGCTATACAACCGTCAAACAAAGTGCACAAGCCTAAGTTATTGTCTCATAATCTATTTTCATCTTGTTATTTGAGTGTGAGTTTAAATATGGTTGTAAAGAAATCAAGTAATAACATCTTGGACAGTACAAGTGTGCTTTTATTTATGAGTTCCAATCATCACAACGCTCATGATGGATATGAAAGGCCAAGACCGCCATGAGACATCTTCCTGACGCTCCTACACACACACACATATATATAAAAAATAACAGAAAATATTTCACAAGTGTTGTTATTTATTATGTAGAATTTCTTATGAAAAATTCATTTATTAATTTCGTTATTTAGTGGTATTCCATTGAAGTCACAAATACTTTTGATACTTTTTATTTTGATTCCTTCAGATGAATTCCTATACATTGTTCATGTAAACACATTTAAATACGGACATTCAGATAAATCTCTAAACCATTTTTTTAAAATCCATTCGACAATTATAATAAATATATATTTCTAACTTATTATTCCAGTCATAAGTAAATAGAACCAGGGTTTAAATTACTTTTAACTTAATATATATATATATATAGTCCCCGTACCTCGTCCAGTACTTCTCTAAGGTCCCTATCAAGTCTGGCCGCCTCTCTGTTGCTGATCTGTTGTCTGAGCGCGTTGGCCGTGGTCCGTAGAGCGGCCTGCACGCGCCAGAACATCACCACCTCACAGCACTCCTTCTGTAAACATTATCAACATATATATATATATATATACATACAGGGTGACTGGTGAATTACTATCAATATTTAAGGAGCATACTCGGTACATGATTCTCATTCGAATTATGTAAAAAAAATAGATACTTAATTTTTGACCAAATTTCCGTATAAATAAATAAAGTTTGGACACGTACTCAGCTTTGCCGGCGCCAGTGTGTCGCTACTCCCCAACCCCCGCCCCGTGGCTAGCGGGCCATTAGTCAGCTATTAGTCGCGCGAGCGCCGCCGTAAGGTCCGTACGTTCGTCTTCCCGCGCGCGCGCCTAGCGATCGATCTTACGCGTATACCTAATAATAATCTGTCGTGTGTGCGTGTGACCCGTTATTACTTATTAGTAATTAAATATTGCTTTTCAATACACAAATGCAGAATACTTGGACATGGTTCATGCGTATGCGCGTGCAAATGAAAGCTTGCCGGGCGCAATCAATTTGTACCGGGAGATGTTCCCCAATCGTCGAGTACCTACGGCCAGCGACATCTTAAACGCTAATCAAAGATTACGAGACTTCGGACAGTTCCGTGTTCCAACACATGCCCAAGGAAACGTCTTGTGTATGCTACAGAGTATGTAAACAGAGAGGAGTTGAAATTAAAAATCAATAGTGATTTCAAAACTATTAAAAGTGACCCATTCGTATTAAATCGTGTGAAAGACAATATGTGTAAACGTGCCGAACTGTGTATCACACGAGAAGGAGCTCGCTTTGAACATTTGTTAAGGTTAGTGTAGTTATGTAGGTAAATAGGTAGTTTAATGATTGACAATTGTTGTAAATAAGTATGATTCCATTTTTAAATACGCCGGAAATACCAAGATAGGTAAACAGTTCATATTATTTTTTGTGTCAAGGTCACACCATTTACCTAGTCAATAAATTGGTTGCTTAAACGAAAGAAATATCTTGGTATTTTTGCCTGTCCTAAGCCAGGATTAAAGTATGAAGGGAAATGGATCATTTTTGTTTATCTAAGGTCTAACACGCGGCGGCGCGCGGCGTTTGGATGTAGGTAAACTACCGCGCGATAACTACATATACCTACGTACATAACTTTGTCATATATGATCGTCAACTACCACGTCACCAGTCACCCTGTGTATATATATATATATATATATAAGGAATAATTTTCTTGTATGCTTATTTAGATCTCCCAATACATAATAAGAAAAAGGTCATTAAGGAGCGGCATAAATTGCTGGCGACCTGGTGATATTTTACTCAAAATAAATTGTCTTTGTTCAGTTATAAAACTTATGGTAATGGTCATTATAAAAGTTATCTCGGGACTTTTTGGTTGCGCTTTAACTACTGAATAACATTACACTAGGGTTGAAAATAAAAAAATAACCCACATGTCCCTAACACCTTGTTAGTGTCAAATTCATACAAGACTTATTCGCGTTATAAGCATACATTAAACCCCTTCTATATACATACTCTATATATAATTATATATCTCACCTCAGCGCCGTTCTGCTGTGAGTACAGATAGAAGCTCTTCTTACAGTCGTTAGCGCGGGACTGGGCCCGGGAGAGGAAGTTACTGGAAAGTTCCATACACATTAAATATAGCCTTAAAACGTTATATGTATATTATAAGGTGATTGTGCGTGTTTTACTTAAGGTAGACCGGTTTCCATGTTTCTCTGATGTATTCATTGTCCACCTCCACTCCTCTACGACGGAGGTTGTCACGAACAGCTACCACCTGCACACAGACATGAGGTTAACTCAAACTCAAATAACTTTATTTAATATAGAAGCATTACACTTTCTTATTGATGGTCACTTGAGACACTACCACCGGTTCGGTAAAGAAAATACCCTGACCTGAGAAGAACCGGCGGAAGAAACTCAGCGGGATTATTTTTATATTTGTCTCATATATTATATAAACAATTTAATATGAGATGAAATAGCCAGGAGGCGATCGTTTCATTCCCAAGGTGTGCTATCGATCATAAACTCATTAATTGTATAGTAACCTTTTGCACACAAGCGTTCCTTAACAGACAGAGTAAGAGAGAGAAAGAGAGAGAGAGAGAGATTTATATATATATATATATATATACTAGTTTTTGCCTACAACTTAGTCTGCGTTATTTTCAGAAATAGAATGTATATCTGACCGGGCGAACACTATTTCTCCTTAAAGACAGTAGATAAGATTTTGGATTTGATCAACTTATTTTTTTTTCAATCGAATGTTCTTTTCCTTCTTCTAAGCTATATTTCTAATCATCGTCCAAACTCATCCAGCCATTCTTGAGTTTTAGATAGTGTAACTAACACGACTTTCTTCTATATATACAGATATCTATAATCTAGTTATTCTAGTATAATGTCGTACCTCGTCGTAAGCCAGCGAGGGTCTACACGAGCCGAGTCTCTCGAGCTCGGTCCGTACTTCAGCTCGTCTGTGTTGCTCCTCGGTAGTGGACGTCCAACGGAGCCAACGCTCACGGAACCCGGGACCTACGACATACAGATAAAGAAGATACTTATGATAATGATATTTAAGTAAATACAGACAAATTGGGGAACTACATACACAAAATAAAACCGGACATAATACTGTAACTTTAAATTATACATGAAACTAATATTTTCGGATTTTACTTCGCGATTTATAATCTATACTAATATTATAAAGCTGAAGAGTTTGTTTGTTTATTTGTTTGTTTGAAAGAGCTAATCTCCGAAACTACTGGTTCGAATTGAATAATTCTTTTTGTGTTGGATAGTCCAGTTATCGAGGAAGGCTTTAGGCTATACAACATCACGCTACGACCAATAGGAACAAAGATATAGTGGTAAATGTGTAAAAAACGGGAGAAACTATTTCATATTTAAAGCCTTCCGTTGCGTGCGCCGTGAAAACGGTTCAAGATACACAAAAAATATGTTTTAAAGAATAATAGCTCTTTTAGTGATCTAAAAAACACTCCGCGACAGTATATGTCTATCTTTTAAGATTAACTCACAACAACCGTTTTTATGGTACCTAATTTGGTCGAAATAATTTGTTTAAGTTGTATCAACATAATAATAATATTAATCTTTATTCAAATAAACAAATAAATATGTTGTTGGTTAAGAGTATTTCATCTGTATATATAAAAATGAATTGCTGTTCGTTGGTCTCACTAAAACTCGAGAACGGCTGAACGGATTTATCTTATCTTAGTCTTGAATGTTCGTAGAGGTTCAGGGAAGGTTTAAAAGCTGAAAAAAATTTATTTAATTCCGGGAAAACTTTAAAAACAGCCCTTTCTATTTCCCATACAAACGTTTTTTTTGACATTAGATTTGACAACTAACTAATATGTCAATCATTCTGTTCGAATGAAACAGGAAAAATCTGATTATTTTTGGCCTCTAAGACGGAATAGAGTTCGTCCGGTCAGCTATACATATATTACTAATGACGAAATTAACGCGGACGAAGTCGCGAGCAAAAACTAGTTGAGAATATAAACAAAACATAGGTTTTATCCTGGAAATTCTACGGGAACTCGGCCATTCCGAAAACCCCACAAGAACGGGAACTATGTGGGAAGAACCAAAAATCTGCTTTAAGTCACTTTTCCACGCGGACGGAGTCGCGGCAAAAGCGAGTAAAAATAAAACGCGAAGTAAAATCCGAAAATATTAGTTTCATTTAAATGAATTCTCGCGAAAGTCTTAGATCTCATTATTTAAATTATACCTACAGATTTTGTAGATTTGAACTTGGGTGTCTCTGTGTCTGCGTGTATGGGAGTTTATTTGTGTCTGAGCGTGTGTGTGTCTGTGTGTGTGTGTGTGTTTGTCTCACCCGTCATGTCCCTTAGCTCCCTCTGCACTTCGTCCCTCTTCTCCTTGAGCGCGGTCTCCATAAGCGCCACGGCCGCGTCCCACTCGCCGCGGGAACGAACACATCTGTCTTGAAGGGCGTTCAGTTGTAACACGCGTAGAACCTGACATACATACATCAATTAGTATAAAAATATTTATTGTTTTAGTACTTTTACTAACAACTGTTCATTGGACATGTGCAGTGCTCTTAACTGCTGATTGTGTAATATATAATACTACTAATATTATAATTGCGAAAGTTTGTGAGTGTGTGTATGTTTTACTTCTTCACGCTCAAACGGCTGAACCGATTTTTAGAAAATTTTGTATACTGGAAGCTGTCATCCAGGAAAAATATGAAGGCTACTTTACATCCTGGAAATCGGCGGATAACACCGCGGGGCGCAGCTACTAATATTATAAGTCCACTTGAATAAAGATCTTTCTAATCCATACAACCTCCATTTCCCTACATCACTCTACCCCTCTATATATATTCTTTCGCCGGTTCTTCATGTCAGGGTATTTTTTTTTCCGAACCGGTGGTAGTGTCTCAAGTGACCATCAATAAGAAAGTGTAATGCTTCTATATTGAATAAAGTATAGAGTTTGAGTTTTACTCACATCCTGGGCCCTTTCTTCCCACTGATGTCTATTCAACGCCTCCTCCACGGCCGCTCGTTTCACAGGTTCATATATAGGGTCCGTGTCTTGTGACCTCGCCAGTAGTTCTATAAACTCCTCTCTTAAAGCATCTCTGCCCGCCTGTATCGATTGTTTAGCCAACTCACTCTCCGCCCATTCACGGAGCTTTATGTCCACTGACGTGTTGAATTTGTCTGAAATATATATAACAACATTAATTAGTTCCAGAAAATAGTCTGCTATATTCGTAATGAGAGGTTATGATATATGTATTTACGAAGATTTTTGATCGATTACAAATAAAAAGTCTTCTTTTTGACATTGGATACATGCTGTGAAAATCAATTTCCGAAATCTGTTACATTAACACTATTATTAACTTTACCTACTACTATTTAATAATTACCCATTATAAAATACGTGTTTTTAATAAAAAAAAAACCCCTTATAACTAACAAATTAATGAATTCAGATTAACTTATATCCTCCCCGCTTCAATACTTTACATACCTGATGATTTAACTAACACTAGCAGTATATAATATATAATAATAACACAAAGTACAACTAAATATATCACAATATTCAACAGTTAATAACAATATGAATGTCTGTATGACGATTGTTAATATGTAATGATCCGTCTACATACAAAACTAGGCGACCTCTATCACTGATGCGTCGTATATATACTCATATAATTAATCTTACTGTAATCAAAATCGTATGGATCGATCCATATTGCCGGGTTCCTATCAGAGCCGGTTTGCTTATATTTCAACTGTGTTGCTTTAGGCCGACCTGGTGACACAGTCTTTTATAAGGATATAGAGGTCTACTCAAAAGACCATCGGTCTACTCAGTAAATAAACTAAAAAATTCATTAAAAGTAAGTTGATCAGTACGATTATCTATTCCACATTTCTCTTCTCATTTCCTCCATCAAAACGTTTTCTGGTAGAGATCTCTTTTAAGAGATAAGTTATCCTTTGTACATGACATTTCGTTTATAATACTTTAATTATTACTATTTTTTTTGGTACATAAATAAATAAATAACTAAAATCTATAGCAGATATTTAAAAAATCAACTAAGTTATACATAGTTCCGTCTTCTCAATAGACCATCATCTTATTAGCGTGTTATTTCCTGGTCTACTCCTTATTATACACATATCGTACCGACGTCATCATGCGCCAGCGCAGCGGCCGGTAAGTATATTCCCCCGAACACCTTCTCATGTGTTGAGGTCCACAACTCGGCAGTGAGTCTCTGCTCCCAGGCGGGCGGAGGAACAGCTGACAGCTCAGCTGATTGATCTAACAGCTCGGCTCGAGCTCGCTCGAACAGCTCGTCACGATCTAACTCACGCTGTCTGAAAGAAGATTATATTAATTACATATAAAGAAACATTACTCTTGTTTAGTATCGTCTGAAATGGATATTACTGTCAATACATTTGCATATTTATTTTGCTGGTTTTTGACCAATGAAAATATATAATCACAATATTTTTGTGGGGGAACGAAATTAGTACACTACACATCCTACTTATATTATAATTGCAAAAGTTTGTATGTGTCTATGTTTATTACTTCTTTACGCTCAAACGACTGAACTAATTTTGATAAAATTTTGTATACAGGAAGCTGACGTCCAGGAATAACACATACCAGGGGCTACTTTAAATCCCGGAAATCCGCGGGTAACACGGGACGCAGCTAGTATAAAAATAAAATGTATTATATATTAGTATACCTAGGGAAGGTGTTCTTCCATTCTGTCTCCAAGTTGAATCTCATAGCCTTGAAGGCGTCTGCCTGTTGTTCGACCGTGTCGCGGACCATACGCCAGAAGCAGTCCGCCACGCCGAGCGACAGGTTGCGAGTGGTCACTTGACCCGCTGCTACTAGACCCTCTCTGAAGAGAAAAAAAATAATAAGAGAATCTCCTCGTATGATATTATAAGGGTATTTTCTTTTCCGAACCGGTGGTAGTGTCTCAAGTGACCATCAATAAGAAAGTGTAATGCTTCTATATTATTGAATAAATTTATTTGAGTTTGAGTTTAAGGACATTTGAAGTCCAACGTGAGAGGAATAGTTGTCTTGAAGGCACCTTCATCCTATGTTCATATTATATACATTATGTGCTTATGTTATTTTAGTATTTGCCACAGTTTGAGTTTTAAGGAATTTTGAAAATAGTTTAGGTTTCTTTTCATATATCATTGAATTATTGGTGTCAAATACGGATTGAATAAATGAAAGTACAGTAGAAACTCGATTATCCAGCTCTCAGTTATACGGATTCGCGATTATCCGGACTACGGATAAGTCCTGACAAGAAAAAATGTAAGAGAGTGGTGTTGTTGAGAATGGCGTACGTCAAATGACGATTACCAAATATTCTAAACCAAATTAAAGTTATCATTTTAATTCATGATTAAATCTGCAGTTTTTAGTACACACACTTATATGTATGTATATGTAATCTAAGAAAATGTATCCTTTAATTATTTTTTAACAAACATTGATTTTCATTGATATATATTCGTTATTTTTTTAAATAAACATTTAATATTATGTACTACATAAGCACAAAACCGTCTTTTCTACATACAATCGCTTATATGATTATCCGAATGCCTATCGATAACAATTAGTCCGGTTAATCGAGTTTCTACTGTATATCTATACTAATATTATAAAGCTGAAGAGTTTGTTTGTTTGTTTGTTTGTTTGTTTGAAAGCGCTAATCTCCGAAACTACTGGTTCGAATTGAATAATTATTTTTGTGTTGGATAGTCCAGTTATCGAGGAAGGCTGTAGGCTATATAAAATCACGCTACGACCAATAGGAGTAAAGATATAGTGGCAAATGTGTAAAAACCGGGAGAAATTATTTCATCTTTGAAGCGTTGCGTGCGCCGTGAAAACGGTTCAAGATACACAAAAAATATGTATTAAAGAATAATAGCTCTTTTAATGGATTAAAAAACAGTCCATGACAGTATATGTCTATCTTTTAAGATTAACTCACAAAAACAGTTTTTGTGGTACCTAATTTGGTCGAAATAATTTGTTTAATTGTATCAACATAATAATATTAAACTTTATTCAAATAAACAAATAAATATGTTGTTGGTTAAGAGTACTTCATCGTGAATAAAAAAACATAGGTTTTATCCTGAAAATTCTACGGGAACTCGACCATTCCGAAAACCCCGCAAGAACGGGAATTATGTGGGAAGAACCAAAAATCTGCCGGAAGTCACTATTCCACGCGGACGGAGTCGCGGCAAAAGCTAGTTGAATATAAGCTGATAGCGAGAAAATTAAATTCCTACAATTTAAGCTTCTATAGATATCAATAACTCACTTAAACAGTTTCGAGGATCTAAAGAACCGTTCCTCATACTCTCTAATGCTCTGTATTGAGTCGTCCTTCCTACTGCGGCCCGTCACTACCGCGTAGTAGCCGAGAGCCTTCATAGGGAACAACTTGCCTTCTAGGATACGACGGATCTGAGAACAGACAAGATAAAGCTTATATATTTTTAGCGCTGCAGACAAAAAGGGGATGGTGAGAAACCCAGAAAGAAATGGCGGCGTTACCATAGCTCACAATTAATGTAATTATTTGGCAGACCCTGGCTAAAGCTGGTAAATTGCCAGGTAGAAGAAGACAATTAATGTAATAATTTAATTTAAAGTTGTAGAGATTTGAAATGATACTCGCGAAAATCTGAGATTTCATTTGTAAAGATTTTTCAGTAGGTGAAAAAGGGGGGGGGGTTAAAGAATAATTTATTCTCAAAATGGGCAGGAGACAATAAGTATGGCAACCCTTGATCTATGTATGCATCATATATATTATGATATCGTCAATGTATTAGTTCCGTATCTTACCCTGTTAGGGTTGGCGAGGTTCTCTTCAGCCAGGTCCACTTTGGTGAGCACGAAGATGGTCCTCTTCCCTTGAGGGTCGCAGGAGGCCACGAGGTCCGTCACGTTACTACGTTCAGCATCAACTGAACCGTCCTATCGATACATGGATTAGATACAGATATTTGATTATAAGCTATAAGTGTATTTATTTAGATACAGGTATAGTGCGTTTGATTTAGGCTGAGCTATGTATTTGTGTGAGTGCACACGGATAGTGTAGGTGTGATGTCAAATTTTTCAATAAAACGTTCTTTTCTAGTTTTAAACCGGTTTGTACCGCTTTTCACTTTCACCGCACCTTCCTCACTTCACCTTTTGTAATGGTAGCAATATCAAATGTTGAAAACGCAATGTCAAGTGAATAACAATTTGTAGTTCTTTCAAAATTCTTATTAATCAATATATTTTTTTCCTCAATATTCAAAATATTTCCATCTGGACTTTTACAAGTTTTGCTTACTTTATAGCACTTATGTTATGTATCTATTTAAAATATAATAAAATTTAATTCTAAAACTTTTTTGTTTAACTGTACTTTTACTTTCACTCACACAAATGAAAAGTTCAGCTTAAGTCTAATGGACTATATTTGTTTATAAGGGTATTTACATGTAACCAACTAACCCAGCAAACGTTATTTTGCCATATAAAAAAGGGTTCATGATAATAAAGTTAAAATTTAGAGTTGTATTTATAATGCCACATTATAAAAAAAATAAAAACAAATAATATCGACCAAATCTTAAAAAAATTTAAGGGCGAACAACCTTATTCACTTAGGTATGAAACATATATAGTAGCCGATTCTCAGACCTACTGAATACATATAAAATATGGTAAAAATCTGTAAAGCTGTCCTCCGGATTATGATATAACATTGTGACATGAAAATATTATAGAAGAATTTAATATTTTCTCAGAGCCATTCCTGGTATATAATATTTTTCATCAATATCTATCGATCATTTGATCAGTTATATTGTAATAAGCGGACGGGTTTATTACTAATATATAATATGACACCCTGTATATACCTGTATACACAGTATGATCGCGTTAGGGTTGTCCATGTACTGTTTGGTCATCTGTTTGATCGCCTCCCTCGTGTCAGCCGCCATGTCCACTGTTTGTGTCTGTTGATATATATTATATTGTTATATACCTATTTATTTCTTTTTGGATTTTATTGATTAAAAACTTCTCTACTAACATGATGAAAATAGAACATCTTCTATATCCTACTAATAATTCCGAAAGTTTGTGAGTATGTGTGTATGTTTGTTACTTCTTTAAGTTCAAACGGCTGAACCGATTTTGATAAAATTTTGTATACAGGAAGCTGACGTCCACGAATAACACATAGGCTACTTTATATCCCGGAAATCCCCGGGTAACACCGCGGGGCGCAGCTAGTTTAATATAAGTATAAGAAATACCTCTATAGTACTGGTTGTTTATGGTTACAAAAATATTTATTTCTTCGTATATATGTAATATATACCGACCGATATAACACCTGGCAGGTCTACCAGCACCATCCGGGGCAGTCCCGGGCCCCTCACGGACATGGCGATGACGTCACTGGACACGGTTCTTCCCCCGCGGACACTGTTGCGCATGCGCAGCTCAACTTCTCTATAGCCAATATTGAAAACTAAGCTTCATGTATTGCATTTAAGATACTAATTGTACAATGACTAACTTTCTCAGATCTGCGAGGTCGGATTCCTTGTTGAGATCGAACTCTCTGGATGAATCTCTGAACTGCGCGACGTGGTAGGGACCCTCAGACAAAGTCACCTTCACCGGAGCTCTGTAAAACATTAAAAGTCATCAGATAAAAGTTTTCTATGAATTAAATCTATCTTTACTCAGCATAATATGAAGAATATTTCTCTAAAACTGCAATGGGATTCCAAGAAACATTTACTACTCAGAGCTTAATCATTTCTGTTATGTTGTGAGATCATCGAAGAAGAGGCCATGTGTTAGTCAATGTTAGTGATTATTATGTAATGTTTTATTGAATTTAAATTTTGATTTACTACAATTATTATATTTTGCATGATGTGATAGCCTATAATTAGAAGGGCATTTAAGTTATTATTAATATTTTGATAATGTAATAATGTTTTCTTTTGTTGGTTATCCAAATAAAATAAATGTGTTAACAGCACTATAGTGTGTGTGTGTGTGTGTGTGTGTGTGTGTCTGTGTGTTCCCTCCCTCACCTGGTACACATCTCCCCCGCGCCCCTCGGGAAGATCCTGGCCTGCGCGATCATCTCCAACACGGAAGTCTTCCCCGCGGACTGGTCTCCAACAACCACCACCCTCGGCAGTCGGCCAGCCTCGCCTGACTCCCAGCCTGCCAGCTCGTCCAACACAGACGAATACATGTCGATCAGGGACCGCTGGGGAATACATTATAATAATTAACTTCAATTATTATTGTCTTAAATCAGTGGTGGCCTAGTGGTTAAGGGGCCTGGTGGTTAAGGTTGAAACCTGGCAAGTACCAATGTCATTTTTCGGAGTCATATGTACTTTCTGAGAGTATTTAGACACCACTGACATACGGTGAAGGAAAACATAGTGAGGAAACCTGGACTTATTGTTTCACAATTATAAGTTTGAAATCACCAACCCGTCTTGAGCAAGCGTGGTGATTAATGCTCAAACCTTCTCCATGTGAGAAAGAGGCCTTTGCTCAGCAGTGGAATTCTGATAGGCTGATGACCTATATGTATTGTAGAAGTAGAACTTATTTACGCACTGTTGAGTTGGGAGTAAGCTGGTGAATGCGTGACGAAAGCGTTACGAAATGTGTGATAGGACGAGGCGAACGAAAATGAGAGGGAGATATAAATTAGTGAAGATACGTGTTTGTATTAATACATTTATAAACATATTCCATATAGATTGAGCGAAAGAAGTTTTACTTCAGTCGTGTGGTCTAAAGACCACTAGTTTTAATTTTTTTAATAACTAATCAGTTTCGTCTCACCGACCTTCATTTTCTTGGTAGTAGGCTGCCGTCCCTGTCTCAGCAGCATGTTCTGTTGTCTCAACTCTCTGTTCTCTTGTTCTAGTCGCTGCAACTCTCTTTGATATCTCGCTTGCAATGCTAACACCTCTTCTTGGAGGACGTGCACTCGTTTTTCTGATAAAAGAATATGAGAATATTAATGAAATCTAAGATTTTCGCGAGTGCTATTCATTTATATGAAACTAATAATTTTCGGATGTACTACGTGATTTTATTTTTGATAAAAACTACATAATCCTGACGTTTCGGCTACTTTACAGCAACTGTGATCACGGGCAGACGAGATGTGCAGACGATACATTTTCATTTATATGAGAATATAAAGCTACTAGCGCCGATGTTATATATTAGAACAATTGACGTAATAATAATAATAATAATGACGTAATAATACCATAGGCGGCAGCTTCTTCTGCCGCTGTACGAGCGGACGCCGTCTGTGGCGCAGGTTTACTCTGAAGGTTGTTCACTATCTTCGGAGCTGGTTCTGGAAAACAAAAAATATTATGAAGTTCTTGTAAAGGATAAACTAGTCCCAGCAAATGCTTAGATTAAAATACTAAGGGGCGTTAAGACGATTTAAAATCATATCAATTATAACTATGTATGATGCTTGTTTTTTTTGTCTAAATCATAGGGAATAAATTGATGTGATTTTAAATGTCAATGTCTGATAGATCCTAATAACACTCAACTCACCAATACTAGTATTATTAACAGCAGCCGCGGCCACAGCGTCCTCGTACCTCTGTGAGAGCCAGTCCCTCAGTTCAGCGGCCCGCGCCCTCCCAGCCTCCCGCAGACGAGGATCTGAGACCGACAGCGTCAGTGGCACACCTACGTACACACACCGTACTAGTGACTAGTGCACACACTAGTACACTGTCTAACCAGACCTAGACTTTAATAATGCACACACTGATTTCTTGGAATACACATCCGTAACATCTTTAAGCACACACATACACCATAAAAGTTACTATTGCATACACTGAATCATACAATCAGGCCTTGGTGGCACACTCAAGCACACACACCATAATAGTTAATATTGCACACACTAGGTCACTGTAGAACCTGACCTAGTCTGTAATGCACACACTGACTCAATGAGACAGACCTCAGTAACACACTCAAGCACACACACCATAATAGTTAATATTGCACACACTAGTTCACTGAATGACCTGACCTAGACTGTAATGCACACACTGACTCATTGAGACAGACCTCAGTAACACACTCAAGCACACACACCATAATAGTTAATATTGCACACACTAGGTCACTGTAGAACCTGACCTAGACTGTAATGCACACACTGACTCATTGAGACAGACCTCAGTAACACACTCAAGCACACACACCATAATAGTTAATATTGCACACACTAGTTCACTGAATGACCTGACCTAGACTGTTTTTTTTTTTTTTTTTTTTATGTGAAAGGTGGCAAACGAGCAGACGGCCCACTTGATGGAAGGTGGTTACCGTCGCCCATGGACATCCGCAACAAAATGTTGCGGATGCGTTGCCAACCTTGTTTTTTGAGGATAGGGAGGGGTGGGAATAACGAAATGAAAGGAAAGGGTAGGATTAGGGAAAGGGCATCCGGCTCTCTCACTCATCAGACGAAACGCAGCAAGCAAAGGCTACTTCACGCCGATCTTCTGTGAGAGGGTGGTACTTCCCCGGTCGAGCCAGCCCATGTTCGAGCTGTAGTAACTGACCACAGCTAGGCTCTACCACCTTCAAAATGTAATGCACACACTGACTCAATGAGACAGACCTCAGTAACACACTCAAGCACACACACCATAATAGTTAATATTGCACACACTAGTTCACTGAATGACCTGACCTAGACTGTAATGCACACACTGACTCATTGAGACAGACCTCAGTAACACACTCAAGCACACACAAGTTAATAGGGACTAGTGTACACACTAGTTCACTCATGTACCAACTTGTTCAAATTTGCAAGTGTTGAGTTGCTTAGATAAAGATTTTTCATAGCACACAAATCTAACAATTTAACACACTAAATACATGTGGAAAAGATTAAGAAAAATATGACTTTTCCAAAATAGACATACAAAATACTAATTATCTAAAAAATCTCAAATTAATATATAAAACTTCCTCATTTTAATGTTAAGTAGAGTAAAATAAAAATATATCTATATTATACTTAACACAATATGTATGGAAACTTAGTTATTTTTATAAATTTATTTAAATGAAAAATTTGCTTCCTGGAAAATAATTAAACATTGGGTTTACTTAAGAGATATCTAAAATCTATTCCCTACAAATGTGATGAATAACCTGTTCTTAATATAAGTTTAATATTTATAAAATTACTAAATAATATTTTTTTATTAGTTAATCAAACTACTTAAAATTGTTAAGAAAATATAAATATGTGCTTAAAATATAGTGCAAATACTTATTTTGGAGTAAAATAATTAGCATCTACTTAACTAATAACAAATACAAATACCACAATATTTAAACTAACACATATGTACCTTTAGACCTTTATCATACTGATAGGAGCTTTACAAACATATATAACTACAAGTACATAACTACATATATACATTTCCATCAATATATATTCTGATGGAGATATTAATGTTAAACTATTTACCAATATAATATCTTAATTACATCAGTAATTATAAAAGAATTTTATGTATTTGAAATTTTTATTAAGACATTACATTATAATTCACTCATATATTTCTTTAAAACTATGTTAAAACAACAATATGAGTTTACATATGATATATGTTAATTTTAAATATCACTATTAGATTTCTTAGGTATTTGATAGCACTGTGTGCTTTAATTGGTGAATATATATGGAAATATTGTTAAAATTAAAACATATTGTCTTACCGATCTGCAGTTGGTCTCCGATCCTGTCTTTGGCCGTAATAAGTGTAGTAGTGAATCTGTCCCATTGATCATTGTCAGGTAACATATCATTTAACCAGCCCATATCGGGAAGTCCATCTTTCCATTCTGAATATTTCTGAAATTATTAAATTGTAATCATAATATAAAATTTTTGCCAATATATAGGTAAATGTGTCTACAGTGTGTGAGTATATAGTATGCAGTGGTGTGCACAGAAATTTGGGGTAGGGTAAGTAGAATTTGTGTTAAAAAAAAAAATACCAATTTTCATAATTTCCTCCTCTAAAACATTGATAATGAGATCTTTCGCAAGTATTCATTTAAATGAAACTAATATTTTCAGATTACTATGTGTAATTTATTGTTTTTAACGGGCAGACAAGATGTCTACCATGATCATCCATATAGGGTATGGTATGCAGTGCTTATTTGCATCTATGGTATGCACGCCACTGATTGTATGTGTATACAACTAATTTGAGAATCAAGTATAATATTAGAATTATAGGATATATAATTTCAAAATCAATTTACTTTATCTAGAAATGATCAGATGATAGGTAAGCTTATAGGTTCATCTATAATAAATAGGTTTACCTTATTTAGTGTCATTCCACCGCCAACAGCTCCTCCCAATACCAAGTAACGTATCTTAAGAACCCCTCGCACGGCTCTTGCTATCAGCATACCATATTGACGACGGGGAATGTGGTTTGGTACTGGTCTATTGAACAACACACTTCTACCGGTCCAAATTGTAAACGCGACAGCCCGCTGATCGACTATTGACGGCGTCTTCTTGAGAGACATTCTGGAATCAGTTACAATGGAAATTGAATCTACACATTAATATTATACGTTATAATCGAGAATTTATATAAAATATATATAGGCTATTCTAATATTTTAACAATTACGTAGTGTTAGATCTTATGATAAAAGTAAGGTTTAAATTACGAAAAATTTTCTAACCAAAAATTAAGTTACAATGAGTGAAGACTTTTTAAGGTGTAGTAGCTTACCTCATTCGATGATTTAATATTCTCGACATGATGTTTTGTTAAATCAGTTGTAGTATTTTAGTTAGATCTAATTGAGATATTCTTAAAACATAATAACCAATAAGTTATAGTTTTCTGCTTTACAAGTTCATACACAATGCCGGTCTATTTTATATAATTAAATTTAACAAACAAATCAACTCGTTATATAATAATAAATAATTATTGTAAATACATTACACAATCAACTTGTATAGCATTATGATCTATTTCATATTTTGAAAAATTGACAATTTACTGACTGACTGCAGTCAAGGAAATCTTCATTTTTCTTTTGATTTCCGTTTTACGCTGTGATTATTTATTAAGTTTTAAAATAAAATTTGTAAATTATTACGAAATTACGAAAAATATGTTTAAATATAAATCTTTAATTTAACATAGGCAATAGTTTAAACAAATTTATTAAAAACAAAAAAAAAAAAATGTTACAAGTGGCAACTCCATATGAGGTAAAACGTCAAAAATGGTATAAGTGTAAGATTTGCTTTTCGCTGCAGTGTTTTTTTTAAATTCACGTAAAGATAATTCGCTCCTCTATTTCATCTATGTGGTATTAAAGTGTGACTATTATATTTTAATGCGAGTAGACATAGTAAGAACTGGGAACTTACAATGACCTTTGAGTGATTGATGACATCTTTAAAATCTGCTTACTATGTGAGTATTTTAAGTTACTGTAGCCAATACCAAGGTTGGGTTGTGTTTATTCTTCATTAATTAACAGAGCAGTGGGGTTTTTGACCACGAGATAGTGATATCATAGTCGGTCATAGTCAGTACTGAATTTATCTCCTATGTTAATGTAAAGAAATTCGCGATTCTTCGCGTAGGGCTTCTTGTTTTATTTTTAGATCATTAACTGCGTATACATTAAATGTTTGTTTGCTTGTCCGCTTGTGTTTACAGGGTTCTCTTTAAAGGGAATGTTATTTCAGATTGTAAGGCAATAAACCAACCAGATAATATTTTCTTCAGTCTTAATAATTTTCTAATCAGCTGTTTGTTAAGTGTTTTTATGATATAATAAAAATAATTCATGTATAAAAGGCACAGTATAAAATAGTTGTTAATTAGGTAGAATCATAATTTATTTATTACTGATAAAGTTTTCCTTCATTGTTAGAAACAGCACAAAAACAAGTCATTAATGTCAGGATATTATAATTTTAAACTCAATTGTCAAAGGTCATATTACTTAGCTTTTATATAAATATAAGCATGGAAATACTGTATAATGTAGGTGCTAAACATTTGAATTATCATTAAACCAAAGAATCATATAATACTTAATTTATTTATAAGTTTATAAAATTATGTATTTTTTGTTATTGTCTAAATATTGCTTCTAACTTAGTTATTCAAATTTAAAATAGAAATTATATGGAAAGATTAATTTCATGTAATTATATAAACGAAAAATTTAAATTCCTTTTGTTTTATAAAAAATGTTGTATTATTTCAAATATAATTGTACACTTTTCTTTTCTTTATTTTACTCCTATTATTTGTCTATATTGGTGTACAATGAAGAGTATATAAATAAATAATGATTAAGTAATGCTTACATTGGTTCGGTTTAGTATTTTCTTATCCTGAAACCTAGAATTATTTTTATAATTAACTATTGCATGTGACAATCTTTACATATCAAATATTTTTTGAGATATTTTATTATTCCTATGATGTTTATTTGGTTTTCAAAATCTTTGAACAAAACCTCCTTTGGTATATGGAATTGAATCAGAATAATGCCTTTTTGAGTACAAAAATAATAAAAAATTGGCCTATAATTAAAAGAGGTATATCAAAAATATTTTTTTTTGTTTATTTGTCTAATCACTTTAATTTAATTTACTCCTTACAACATTACCTATTTATTTCAATAAAATTGGTGCAGATTTTAGGGTAAATTTATAACATACAGACAGAGAAAATAAAATTATAAATTACAGTTGAAAGTTATTAAATTAAAATATTATTTTTATTTTATTCACTAGTATCATTTGTATGTATTTTTTTACATAAATAAGCTACTTCTAAACATCATACTTGTCTGATAGAAATGTAAATAGTATGCACAAGCACATTTTGGAACTAATATTATAGTACATAAACAGTTTAAATTATTTAAATCTTCTTTATATCGTAATAGAGTTTATTATTGAATGATGAAGACCTATGAGGTCATCAGAATATTTGTGTTAGTTATTTGTGGTGGGTGGAGGAATTTTAAGGATGGCATACTTAACTTATAATGAACTGACATACACATGGAAATAAATTTATAATGATTCAACTACCAGCTGATGGAATTATACAAGTTTTTACACCTGTATTTTCTTACACTATTATAATTTAATTATTATTATGTATTGGTAATTTTTCCTTATAAGTTTTATGTGTAATTTATGTTATTACATTTCTGTTGTCTATTTGGGCAGTTAAATATAGTAATGTGTGAATTATTATAGATATTAATAAATATTCAGTTATATCCGTATATTATATATATTATTGGCCGTTTTTATCTCTAGCTTCCGTTGCAGTTTGATGTGTCCATGTAGATAATCACCATTCACAGTCCTTATCATTTGTACACACATATGACCATATTAATACCTTATAGCCTATATATAATAAAATATATATAAACTAGCTTTCCGCCCGCAGCTTCGCCCGCGGGGAGTTCGGTTATATCGCGTTTCCAAGAGAACTTTTCAAAGTCTGGGATAAAAACTATCCTATATTCTTTCTCAAGGTCAACTCTATCTCTGTACCAAATTTCATTAAAATCAGTTCAGTGGTTTAGGCGTGAAAGCGTAACAGACAGATAGACAGACAGAGTTACTTTCGCATTTATAATATTAGGGATATAATATATATATGTGACGAAAAGTTATTATGACAAAGTTAAATACTCTCAGCAATATGGCTTCAAATCATTAGGCATTTGAATATATTATACTATGTATTGTATTTAACAAAAATATATGTTTTAAATAACAATACAGATATTTCCTATAAGTAGTTTCCGTAGTTAAATGGTCGCGATGACGTCATCATTCTCTTTAATTAATATAAAAAATTGTATGAGATATGTTCCATTAAAGACACGAGCGTATTGATAGCTTCCTTATGTTATGTTGCGGAATATTTAGTATGAGTCGTGATAGTAATCATATTTACAGTTAGATTTATGCAAAACGTATTACTGATTAACTGTAAGTTTGGTCGTGAATCATGTTAGTTAGCATGTTCTTTTTAATTATATATTTTTTATATATTCTGAGTTAGTATTTTGAATTTTATTAGTCAGTGGTCGCCTAGTGGTTAAAGTGCCCGCCTCTCCTTGCCGAGGGCGCGGGTTCAAACCTGGCAAGTACCAATGTGATTTTTCGGAGTCATATGTACTTTCTGAGAGTATTTAGACACCACTGACCTACGGTAAAGGAAAACATCGTGAGGAAACCTGGACTTATAGTTTCACAATTATAAATTTGAAATCACCAATCCGTCTTGAGCAAGCGTGGTGATTAATGCTCAAACCTTCTCCATGTGAGAAAGAGGTCTTTGCTCAGCAGTGGGCTCTGATAGGCTGATGACGACGATTTTGAATTTCAATAAAAAAATCTGACTTTAAGACACACGAAAATACTATTGTACCTATATATTGATAAATGCGTGTATGTTTAATTATTATTTTTGTAAATCAATGCCATTTCCATTACTTCATATGTTACATTACGTTTATAAACGTGACCCAAAAATGAAAGTTATAATAATAAAGCTCGTTAAATACAAGCAATTAATATTTAACTTCCAACATTGACCGGAGTTCCAACATTGATACTGTCTGACCTACATACGTATAATAGGATTTAATGTTTAAATATTAGGGAAATTAGGGGATAAGGGATACATTGTGAGTTTGTGTGTGTGTGTGTGTGTGTGTGTGTGTTTGTTATATTAGATTGTGTTAATCTTATAAAGGATATTTTTCTTATTACTAATATTTGGACATGTATTAGAATACAAATGTGTTACTTCTTCTTCTTTTACCTGGCAATTTCCCAGCTCTAGCCAGGGTCTGCCTTAAATGTTGTGAATAGTTTTGGCTAATTGTTTTTACGACCGGCCGCCTGCCTGACATAAACCCTCTTTTGGAAATAATACAAATATGTTACGTACGTATTCAATTTTTATTTATTACGTTACTTAGTTTAAAAATATAATTTTTATGTTTTCAAAGTATTCAGATATTAATGTGTATAAGTAGATAGTCTTCTTTTGTCATTGGAACAAAAGGTTTGGAATAGTTAAACGGTGATTAAAACAATCGTGAATAGACTTTTACTGGGATGGTACTCTTATCAACCAAAGCTTCATTTACATCTACCATCAAAAGCGACTGTTTCAAGTCAGTAATAAAAATATGTTAAACTAGCTTTTGCCGCGGCTTCGTCCGCGTGGAATAGTGACTTCCGACAGATTTTTGGTTCTTCCCACATAGTTCCCGATCTTGCGGGGTTTTCGAAATGGTCGATTTCCCGTAGAATTTTCAGGATAATGTTTGGACGTTTTTTTAATTCACAATGAAGTACTCTTAACCAACAACATATTTATTTGTTTATTTGAATAAAGATTAATATTATTATGTTGATACAACTTAAACAAATTATTTCGACAAAATTAGGTACCATAAAAACGGTTTTTGTGAGTTAATCTTAAAAGATAGACATATACTGTCACGGACTGTTTTTTAGATCATTAAAAGAGCTATTATTCTTTAGTACATATTTTTTGTGTATCTTGAACCGTTTTGACGGCGCACGCAACAGAAGGCTTCAAAGATGAAATAATTTCTCCCGTTTTTTACACATTTACCACTATATCTTTGCTCCTTTTGGTCGTAGCGTGATGTCATATAGCCTACAGCCTTCCCCGATAACTGGACTATCCAACACAAAAAGAATTATTCAATTCGAACCAGTAGTTTCGGAGATTAGCGCTTTCAAACAAACAAACAAACAAAGAAACAAACAAAGAAACAAACAAACAAACTCTTCAGCTTTATAATATTAGTATAGATATGTAAATAAATATATTATAGTTTACAAGCAACATCTGTATCATATATTTCTCGTTGAATGAGATATATTTATATTTTCTTTATGTACGACGAATTAAAACTCGGCACTTTGTAACTTTTCTGTGACAGCTCAGCTTTGTGATATATTTCGAAAAGAGTATCTTTATGCAAAGTATAAAGACTGTTTGAAACAATCTGAAAAATGTGAAAATGATGTTCGGACATCTCGTAATATGGAATTTTTTCTGAAATATTTTTACGTCCTTTTTGTAAGAAAAAAAAAATGAATAAGAATTTTGTTATAATTTTATTTATGAATGAAAAAAATCACCTGTTTTAAAAGATTTATACATAAACTATCAATTATTTTTATCATTAAACATTAAGAAACACTTGAAGTGTCTTCGTGTGTTATTATCAGTTTAAGTGGTAATAATTCTAAATATTAATGTTAAATCCGTTAATTAAATTAAACGTTTGATCTTATATAATAATATATTCATTCTATCACATGTGGCTTCATCTGTGAAGGCTAATTGTTTGGGACTTTGGGTATATTTTCTTTTTCTATGCGAAAGGCAATCGAGCAGACTGCCTACCTGATGGAGGTAGTAGACATCTGCAACGTAGATTTTCGAATGTGTTGCCACCCTTGATTGGGAAAGAGGGGGAATAAGGGCATCCGTCTCTCTCACTCATCGGACGAAACGCAGTCATTAAAGACTACTTCACGCCAATCTTCTGTGAGAGGGTGGTACTTCCGCGGTCGAGCCAGCTCATATTCGAGCTGTAGTAACATGACACAGCTAGGTTCTAGCACCTATATACATATATCTTTTATGAATTTAAATTAATCTGTGACATATTTACTTGTTATTGGACCGCCTGCATCTTTTTTAACATATCACTTAGATTATATTCTACAGTTGTATTTGATTTTGTTCTTTGAATGCTCGTCAGGATTGAGATGAGAAATGATCTTATGACTATTGGATCTTCAGAGACGATTGTACATTATTCTCTTATTAAGAACTTTTATTTGTATTAATTACGAATACTTATATTTACCTTCTCCATGTGAGAAAGAGGCCTTTGCTCAGCAGTGGGCTCTGATAGGCTGATGACATGACTTATATTTAATACCTATTACATCTTTCTGTCCTAATTTTTAGGTATACTTATTTGGTGATTAACATATACAGGGTGACTGGTGAATTACTATCGATACTTGAGGACGTGATATTTGACGATCATATATGACAAAATAAAAATTAATATAACATAAATATTAATAAACTTCTAAGTAAAGTTAACCAAAAGTTATGAAATTAATTACGCATCGTGTGAACACCCTACAGATTAGGTATACACACACACACTCGCGTGCGGCGGCGTGGTGTTGTATCAGCACGCCGCCGCACGCGTCCACACTTTATTTATTTATACGGAAATTTGGTCAAAAATTAAGTACCTATTTTTTTTACATAATTCGAATGAGAATCATGTACCGAGTATTCTCCTTAAATATTGATAGTAATTCACCAGTCACCCTGTATATTTGTGTGTTTGTGTGTTTTATAAAATTATCCTCATCTCTGCAATTATTGTTACATATTTATTAATCTATACTAATATTATAAAGCTGAAGAGTTTGTTTGTTTGTTTGTTTGAAAGCGCTAATCTCCGAAACTACTGGTTCGAATTGAATAATTCTTTTTGTGTTGGATAGTCCAGTTATCGAGGAAGGCTGTGGGCTATATAACATCACGCTGCGACCAATAGGAGCAAAGATATAGTGGTAAATGTGTAAAAAACGGGAGAAATTATTTCATCTTTGAAGCCTTCCGTTGCGTGCGCCGTGAAAACGGTTCAAGATATACAAAAATATGTATTAAAGAATAATAGATCTTTTAATGATCTAAAAAACAGTCTGCGACAGTATATGTCTATCTTTTAAGATTAACTCACAAAACCCGTTGGTCGAAATAATTTTATAAAATCATTATTCAAATAAACAAATAAATTTATTGTTGGTTAAGAGTATTTCATTGTGAATTAAAAAAAACATAGGTTTTATCCTGAAAACTCTGCGGGAACTCGACCATTCCGAAAACCCCGCAAGAACGGGAACTATGTGGGAAGAACCAAAAATCTGCCGGAAGTCACTACTCCACGCGGACGGAGTCGCGGCAAAAGCTAGTAACTCATATTATTTTTAATTTATACTATACCTATATATAACATACATATAAGTAAGGTTATATTATATATTTAGTATCAACATTATTGACTTTACAATCTGAACGAAAATAGCCCTTATATAGCACATTTCTCCACAATTACTAATTATTTAGTGTTTAATTAATTAGGGGAGAGTCGGATATATCGTACCACTTTTCACTTTAACTCAAATATTTCGACTATAACTCGTCTTATAATAATTAATACATATGTAAGATAAAGTTTCATATTTTAGCTTCCTAAGAAGAAGAGAACAGATCCTTGCGATTATTCTAACATTGTTAAAAATGCTTTTTAATAGAGGCTTGCCATCGGTACGATTTAGCCGACTCGTCGTTTTAATCGTACCACTAAGTCTTTAAATCGTACCATGGGTGTTTAAGTCGTACCACTGAATGAAAGACATTAAAATTCTCAATCAAATTATTTATTTTTAACTGTTAGGTAAGTTATAAAACAACATTATTTATATCTTTTAGGTAATAGAAACATAATTTTTAACTCTCAGGTTATATAAAGCAACTATAAGTTTTCTCAGTAAAATAACATGATTATACTATGATAATGAGATCAATCAACATAACTAATAAAAATGAGACACAAAAAAACAGTAAACAATAATAATACCTAAAGTAACAGTTAACAAAATTGTTATCTATACTAATATTATAAAGCTGAAGAGTTTGTTTGTTTGTTTGTTTGAAAGCGCTAATCTCCGAAACTACTGTTTCGAATTGAATAATACTTTTTGTGTTGGATAGTCCAGTTATCGAGGAAGGCTTTAGGCTATATAACATCACGCTACGACCGATAGGAGCAAAGATATAGTGGTAAATGTGTAAAAAACGGGAGAAATTATTTCATCTTTGAAGCCTTCCGTTGCGTGCGCCGTGAAAACGGTTCAAGATACACAAAAAATATGTATCAAAGAATAATAGTTCTTTTTATGATCTAAAAAACACTCCGCGACAGTCTATGTCTATCTTTTAAGATTAACTCACAAAGACCGTTTTTATGGTACCTAATTTGGTCGAAATAATTTGTTTAAGTTGTATCAACATAATAATATTAATCTTTATTCAAATAAACAAATAAATATGTTGTTGGTTAAGAGTACTTCATTGTGAATAAAAAAAACATAGGTTTTATCCTAAAAATTCTACGGGAACTCGACCAATTCGAAAACCCCACAAGAACGGAAACTATGTGGGAAGAACCAAAAATCTGCCGTAAGTCACTATTCCACGCGGACGGAGTCGCGGCAAAAGCTAGTTTGTAATATAATTATTGTGCATATTTCTTAATGGAAACAATCATGACAAATGTCTGGATTCGAAGTACACGTCTCATGTAGCCACCGTTTACAGCGAACGCATTGAATCCAATCATCTTTTGGACCCTTCTTATCGTAGTAAGAACAATTGCACTTTCGACATATATTTTGAAGTTAATCATCGCTGTCATCATCATCATCTAGTTCTACAACAAGTGTCTCTCCTGAATCATCGCTACTGGTGATGGAATGAGATCGTTTCCTCTTATAACTTTTGTTTTCTGCCTTGGGTAGTACTTACTATACGTACTTGCGGTAGTACTATAGGTACAAGTGCGGTTGGTAGTCGGGTAAATCGTATCAGTACAATTTAACCAACTGCAAGTGGTACGATTAAACCAACTAAGGCATTTCTAAAACAAAAGCAAATATCCGGCATAAATTCAAAACTTAGACACGCAACAAAAACCTCCAATAATCTAGTATACAATTGTGGAATAATAATAAAAAAACTGAATAACTATAGCTTACATTGATTACGAGTTATCTCCTTACGAATGTACGACAATATTTATATTAATTCCTACAAAAAATGTTTTTCTTTTATTACTTGCACAGTTGTTAACTCACGTCGATTTAAACTAGTGGGTGAAGAGGGATGGTGCAGGGCCACGATTTGGCGTTGTCAGTGTAGAAAAAAATATTCATTAAATGGGAAATTTAGACGTGGTACGATTTAAATGCTAGTACGATATAACCAACTCTCCCCTACTAATTTTGAATAAATTACCTTAAAAGTTAAAAGTCGTTATTATAGAAAATATTTCATATAAACTTTCTTCTGATAATCTGCTTCCAATGTAGATACGCGGAATGATCCAATGCTAGTTACGAGGTTTTGCACTATGACCGACGATATATATGTGTAATTTTTCTATATATTTCAGATTGTAGCAGTATGGCGTCTGTGTGGAAGCGTCTCCAGAGAGTGAACAAGCGCGCCGCTAAGTTCCAATACACGGCCTCCTACCACCGTGTTGATATAGAACTCACTCCGAAGTGGTGAGTTACAAATGAATTACAGTCATAATACATTAAACTGATACCTATGGAAATGACTTACAATACAATAATACTCTAAACTGATACGTAGTTTATATAAATAATATATAGAGAATGAGAATGAGAGTTTGTGTGTTAAACATATTTAGGTTGCATATCTATATATATAAAAGAAAGTCGTGTTAGTTAAACTATTTATAACTCAAGAATGGCTGTACGAGTTTTGCTGGAAATTTGTGGGGTGCTAGCTTAAAACAAGGAAATTTAAATTAATTTTAACTATCATTTAGATGACTACTAATCATTTAGGTTACTTTTCAACCCGCTCAACCAAAAAAATAAATTAATAAAATCCAAAATCTGTTTGTTTACTGCTTCTAGAACGAAACAGTTAACCTGGTCAGTTATACATTTCTAATTCTGACAGAAAAAATCGCGGGCAATTTATATATATAATATGTAAAATTGGTATGTCGGTTCGTCTATCACTTGTAACTATGTCGTGTGGGTAGAGCGTTGTTTGATTGCTTTTATTATATGATTGAGAAACTCTTCTGAGGCTTCCTTCGTTTGTATGTACATGATTATGTCTTGTATACAGTATATACTTGGCTCAAGTTAATTGGTTTTGTCTATATATATGTTATTTTGGCCTATATATTTTTGGTTCAAAGAATTATGCTTAAATGAATCGTTTGCGTCAGGGAGTAACACTCAATTTGATTACCTAATAATGGTATCTTAGACTTTCGCGAGTCTTCATTTAAATGAAACTAATATTATTCGGTTTACTAAGCGTTACTTTATTTTGAACTACATACTCCCGACGTTTCGGTTACTTTTGCAGCTACCGTGATCACGAGCAGACGAAATGATCACAGTTATTGATTACAATTGCTGCAAAGTAACCGAAACGTCGGGAGTATGTAGTATTAAAACCATAAAATAATGCGTAGTTAATCCAAAAATGTAAGATTTATTTACCTTCATAATTTTAATATACTCTAAAATATCAATAATATATAATATTTCAGGAAACCCAATAAGTTAAGTATAGTATGGACACGTCGATCTCGTCGCGTTGTCACAGAGCCTCTTGAATGGGAGCCATCGTTAAAGGATCCGTTAAAGTAAGTTACTCATAACTCATATATAAAATATATATTTTGAAAATGTATTTAAAACATTTAATATTAGTTTTTATAACTCTCAATATTTGGTTTTGTTTTTTAATACAAATATTTATTATTTCTTTATAAAATAATTTTCTAAATAGAATTTTCCATCATCTAACGATTGATAGAAACGTGTTACTACACTCGCTTTATATTTACAAGCGGTTTAATTCCACTAATTTTCAGTAGCACTATTTTCAGTTATTAATTTTCAGTTATTATTTTTTATGGATCTTCTCGATGTGACGATAAAAAAGTAAATAACTACCGATGACGTAATCATCACCTAGACTCCCCTACCCCCCATGGCATCCAAAATAATCAAACCAAAGACCCCCCCGCCCCTCCATAGTGCTTATGTAATACTTGAACGGCCCCTTACGCATATATAGTATTTCGTAATCATTATCCATACAACTAGCATCCCGTGTGTTTGTCCAGGGGTTCAGTAATATTCGCGGTGCCCGAGAACCAGACGGCTGCAGTGACTCTGTTCAGAGACGCACGGACCAACGAGCTGGAGGATAAGGATTGGACCTTCGTACTCGAAGATGTAAGATGAAAACAATAATGATATACATATATATAATACTAGCTGCGTCCCGCGGTGTTACCCGCGAATTTCCGGGATTTCCGGGTTGTAAAGTAGCCAATGTGTTATTCCTAGACGTCAGCTTCCTTTATACAAAATTTTATCAAAATCGGTGCAGCCGTTTGAGCGTGAAGAAGTAACAAACATACACATACACACTCACAAACTTTTGCAAGTACAATATTAGTAGGATGGCTATGAGAAATTACAACTACACTATACTTTCATGAATAAAAATTTAAATATATAACTAATAGTCTAAGAGCCCGTGAACCCCAGACCTTCGTTATTTTATAAAAGCTGAAAGTTTGTCAGCGCATGCTCCCAACACAGGTAAGAACGAAGGTCCATTATGAAATTCGGGTTGTAGTGGCTTTGGCAGGTAAACGGTACTAAAGGTGTGTAAAATACTAATATAGTTTCGTCAAATTATACAGAGCGATTTTTTGGTATTACCTTTAGAATGTTATTAAAAATCACATTATTCATTACCAGACACTTAACATCGTGGTAACCCCTTGCCAGACACCCTTAATGTTCAGGGTATAATAATTCTACTTACGTTATAGTATAAAAGCTGATTTTTATACAGGATACTTGGGTAATGAGTAGATGATATTTTCTCAATAGCCAGACATTTTTGATAGTTCCAACCCCTTGCCAGACAAGTATGTAGGGTCGCTGTAGAAACGAGCGCGAGGTAGTATATATATGTGAGTGCGAGTGAGACGCGCTTGTATTGTTTACTACTTTGTACATGCGTATGTCAGTAAAATTAATATATGCTATTTTTAAAGATAAATTTAATATTCATTATTAATTATAAGAAAAATATCAATAATAGCATTACTTACTTTATAATTAAATCGCTCATTTTTATATAATACTTAGGTAGTTATTAGATGATGTTTCCTCCTTAGCCAGATATTTTTTTCTGTTTTCAATCTCTCTGCCGGACAATCAATGTAAATGTTAAAAAGAGATTCATGATTAGAATGACTTATCCAAATAAACTTTTTGGCCAATTTATGTGACAAATAACTGATGTAAATTTTAAAAATTTCTTCAGAAATGACATTCGTTGCTACAACTACTCGGAATTGTTAAAAATTTCAATTTATTCCTCCAGTAACTAGTTAAAAAAGAAAAACCAAATAGAAATATTTTTCAAAAATTCAAAAATTTAAAAATATCATCTACTCATTACCCAAGTATCCTGTATAAAAATCAGCTTTTATACTATAACGTAAGTAGAATTATTATACCCTGAACATTAAGGGTGTCTGGCAAGGGGTTACCACGATGTTAAGTGTCTGGTAATGAATAATGTGATTTTTAATAACATTCTAAAGGTAATACCAAAAAATCGCTCTGTATAATTTGACGAAACTATATTAGTATTTTACACACCTTTAGTACCGTTTACCTGCCAAAGCCACTACAACCCGAATTTCATAATGGACCTTCGTTCTTACCTGTGTTGGGAGCATGCGCTGACAAACTTTCAGCTTTTATAAAATAACGAAGGTCTGGGGTTCACGGGCTCTTGCTCTATAAATTTTACTTTTCTATAAAACACAAATAATATAAATCTTTTCTTTCTTCTTTCTTTCTTTCAAATGTATACTATATTATAGTTACGAAACATTACAGCTGCTACAAGTATCGTACTTAGATTAGATTATATAAATTAAAATTTTAGAATAAAAAACCGCTTACTGCAACATAACTATAATATTTAGACATATACTGTCGCGACACTTTTTGTAGATTATGATGAGTTCTGCAAAGTCGTAGTAAATGATTTGGTTCTATCATCAATAGTTTTCGCAGCGCACGCGACGTAAGGAATTTTTCAGATCATTTTTTTACACCTTGGGTTACAATTATTGGAGTTATAGTAAGGATCTCTAATTTTTTTTAAATATAATATAGCCCATATTACTCGGGAATAATGTAGCTTTCCAAAGGTGAAAGAATTTTTGAAATCGGTCCAGTAGTTTCGGAGCCTATTCATAACAAATAAACAAACAAATCTTTCCTCTTTATTAATATAGATTAATATTTTATTATTATTTATTTTATTGTGCTGAGCTGAGCGCCTATATAAACGTTTTGATTACCTGTCAGTGAGTCAGTGCCAAAATTAGCTATTTTCACAGGGTCATATTTCAGGATCTACTGAAGCTTTATCTATGAAATTTGGCATACTGCCTTAGGAGTAGTATATGATTACGTACGTAAAATTTTATCTCTGTACTTGCAATAGGCACTGAGCTACAGGGGGGTCAAAAGTGGGTCGAAACGGTTCGTGTAAATATAGTGCACGGCATGCGCCGGCCTGTGGAACTTGGCCGGCGTACTACCGTGCGCTTAGATTAATCTTGACTTTTATTTTTCAATTACATTTTACGATACAATTCAATTACAGTACAATTAACACTCCTACACTTGAACATATTAATTCCCAGCAATTCCATAGCCACCAATGAGTGTAGATCAAAATCTTACTAGTCGAATTTCTATTACATAAATACCTACTAATATTATAAATGCGAAAGTAACTCTTGTCTGTCTGTTACGCTTTCACGCCTAAACCACTGAACTGATTTTAATAAAATTTGGTACAGATATAGAGTTGACCTTGAGATAGAACATAGGATAGTTTTTATCCCAGGCTTTTGAAAGGTTCTCTTGGAAACGCGATATAACCGAACTCCACGCGGGCGAAGCTGCGGGCGGAAAGCTAGTACTTATTACGTCTGTACTTTGTGTTAAAGGTTTATATTTATATGTCATAATGTTGTTGTAGGTATCTCCGTCGGGTAAGCGGCGCCGCCTAGCGTCGTGCCCCGTCAACCTCCGCCGGCACGCGTCCCTCATGCCGGCCCAGAGGTCACTGAGAGTGACCCTGGACCCGGCCGGCCGGAGGCTGCGAGCTGCCAGGATACATCTCACGCTGCACTGTGTACTACTGAGAGAGGGGAACGCTACGTGAGTATGACTTAGAATATACACGAGATAGTCTATGTCTAAGAGATAAGACTTACACGAGATATGTTGAGACAGATCTATCTTCGGATTACCGGAACAGATCTGCGTTTATAATTACTTGTAGTATTCAATAAAACGATTTTAACTTTGTCATGTATGTATCGTGCTAAGGAGCAAACTGAATGACAGCAACTAATATTATAAAGTAATCTACCTACATTACACTTGACATCATATTATTATTTAACAATACCGACCAAGCATAACTAATACATAACATTACTTAATAGCAAAATTTAAAAAAAAAAATGTTGTAACGGTGTAAGTTTTTGTCGTTGATTTCACCTGTTTTATGTTTAAACTATCTTGTTACAATTGTCCTATTGTCGTCTCGTGAAAAAGTAATACGAATTCGACCTAAATAATTTCTTATGTTCACCACATAAGCTTCATGAGTTTAACATCAGAATGATATGACGTAAGACGAGCGACGTGATGATCTGTGACCTTATATATATTTTCAGATGGTATTTTATTAATAGGATAAAATAATACGTAACTTAATTCCTAATACCTACTACATATAGTATTGAAACGCGTAATAATATATGTTTTAGTGATGAAGACATGCAGTCCCTGGCGTCTCTCCTGTCTGTCAACAACAACTCAGACATCGCTGTGTTAGAAGACTTGGAGGAAGACGATTGTACGCTCTCTGAACACTCCACGAGACAGGTACATGAAACATGAGAGGGAGATAGACGATAGGACTTAGAGGAGAGAGAGAGAGATAGATATGTTATGTAACATAATATACAGTATGTATGAAAAATTGTGTCAACCCTCTTAATTGCGTTATCGAAAATGGAACACAATCAAACAACTTACATTTACAAACTCTTCAATAAATATAAAAAAATTAAATATTAAATGATTATTATATGTAGAGTAACCAAATGTTTGTACCCACTGGTATAACACGATGGGACTCAATGGCGTCATCACACCTGCTGCGCTACTAGTGACGAACTCGAACGTACATTCACATTATTTTGATTGTTTAAACACTTTAACGATTCACTGATACCACTTTTTTTCAAATATCTATACGTTTCACTATGTTACAAATCAATTTAAAATAACACTTAGTTAACTGAAAAGTATACGGCTCGAGAATTCACTGTCTGCATCTGCAGAATGCAATTCTAGGCTCGAAGTCTGTAGGAATTAATAATTGTACGGGTGCTGGCCATTTTCCTTTAAAACTTTCTATACACGGGTATGATTGACACCGAGTTGACGTCCCACCGAGCGCGTGCTTTGCGAAAAATATCTAATATGTGTTCCTGTAGATCATCATTATTAACCCTCGGCCTTCCCGCATTAGCACGTTGTTGTTCACGGCCATCGACATTTCCGAAATTGTACATGCGTATATGAAGACGCTGAAATGCCTTAAGTAACGCTAATGGTATGTTTCTTGGAGAAGCAAACAGCTCGTCATAAAGTCTACGCGATTCCGCATAATTACAATCACATTTCTCTAGACACATTAACATATTGAAATATTCCTGGTTGGAGTACCTTTTATAAAACCGTAACCAAAATTAATCCACTCGGAGCAATTTCCACGAGGAACTAACTAATAAAAAAATTTATTAAAAAGGCGGCATAGGCTCGAATAAAAAATATCGATATTTAAAAAATCATAACAATAAATAAATATTACATTTTCATATTATTTCGATACTTATTTTGATATATCAAACATTAATATAGTCAGTGGTGGCCTAGTGGTTAAAGGGTCCGCCTCTCGTTGCCGAGGGCGCGGGTTCAAACCTGGCAAGTACCAATGTTATTTTTCGGAGTCATATGTACTTTCTGAGAGCATTTAGACACCATTGACATACGGTGAAGGAAAACATCGTGAGGAAACCTGGACTTATAGTTTCACAATTATAAGTTTGAAATCACCAACCCGTCTTGAGCAAGCGTGGTGATTAATGCTCAAACCTTCTCAACGTGAGAAAGAGGCCTTGCTCAGCAGTGGGCGTTGATAGGCTGATGACGAAACATTAATATTATTTTTGATTATAAAACACCATTTTTAACAGAAGTAGATTAACGATTTATCCTAATAATACAACATACTTAATTTACCTGAAGAAGTTCCAAATTATAATATTGATTAATAATATTTATTATTAATAAAAGTTATTTTAAAAAGTTATACGGCGCCTTAACCGTTAATGGGTCAGATGTTTGAAACATTTTTTCATATAATGTCGATTTAAAACTTATTTATCCTATGCACTGTAACTGACCTAAGCTTGATATTTTTTAAGTTATACTATTTTTAATAATAAGCTTATACTTATATGTATACATGCCTTTAAGGAAGGACACAGTTTTTAGAACACGCTGTATATGAGAGAAAAATGAGAGGGTGAAATTAGTCTCTCTCTTTCTCTCATAGACAATTACTTTTGAGATAAACAAGTTCTTCAGCTCTGGCCTCTGAAATAATAATTTTTTTCTGCTAAACCTTATTTTGCTATATTTTCAGATGTTGGACCTCAGACAACAGATGGAAGAAATGACACAGAGTTTAACGAACAGTGATATAGCAGCCACCCCAAACAGTGTACAGAGTCTCAACTTCGACAACTCCCGGACCCCAACCGCGCCGATGACCCCCGAGTCAACAACCCCCACGACCCCCAAACCAAAAGAAACAAACGATAGAACAGAACCCGAACTCAAAATAAGCGAAACCTTCAACACACCAAGGACCAGACCCGAATACTTAAGCAACCTGACCAAACTAGCGATGAAGACAGACGTCCCTCGATACACCTCCACACCCAAGACGACGACGCTCACATACGAACCAAAGGTCGACGGTCTGAAGGGCGTGGAGTTTAAACCGAAGATGATAGCGAAAAGGAACCTTAAGCCGCTGGAGTTGAAAACAAATTTGAATAACATTAATCTGGATACTAACGACAACGAGAAGGATTTGGATGATGATAAGACGCCCACCGCCGGGGAGAGGCTGCTCGCGCTGAGGGGACTCGATAAGACACCGGTCATTGACCTTTATATGATCTCTAACAGAGACCAAAATTGGTTGACCCTTAAATTCTATATAATACTGTATGTTGCAGGTCCAAGAATTACTGGACTGGTGCGGAGGAGTGACTCGAGAGTATCGTTCTTGCCGGGTCACTGACCTGGCTCACAGCTTTCGCTCGGGACTGGCTTTCTGCGCCATCATACATCACTACCGACCAGACCTCATGTTAGTACTAATATAGAACTATCCGCAGCTCATTTTACACTGGTGACTGGTGGTGTTATACGTATTTAACCCATGTGTTGTGTCATCTCGTTTTGATATCTTGTCTTGGTTAAATGTCAGATACTAAAAAACGAAAAGTAAATATATTTAAACGTGAACTGGGGAAAACCTGTTTTATATGTGACCTTTTATTTTATAAATATGAAGTAAATGTTATTTTTGAAAATATGTATAATTGATGACAGAACTAAGATATTCATTCTTGGAACGTGCTTTAAAAGCAGTCCTAGAAGGTTCATTTTAAATTTTTTAAGATAGAGAGAGTGCTTTGACAATGGAGGTGAGCGTTTAACGCACGTTAGATAGGGTCCCTTAAACCTACACCTGGGTCGCAAGTCCCAGTCACTGTTGAAGCTCCTCTCACTATAACTCCTCCTTCTACTTCTACCTGGCAATTTCCCAACTATAGCCAGGGTCTGCCTTACATGTTGTGTATAGTTTTTGCTATTTGTTTTTACGACAGGCTGCCTGCCTGACATCAACCCTCTTAGGGGATGCATTAATCAGTGATGTCTAAATACTCTTAGAAAGTACATATGACTCGGAAAAAACATATTGGTACTTGCCCGGGCCAGGATGGAACCCGCGCCCTCGGCAAAGAGAGGCGGGCCCTTTAACCACTAGGCCACCACTGACTAGCCACCACTGGCCACCACTCCTCTCACTATAACTATGGATCAATATATGCTAATAAGTTTGTTGTTTGTTTATCGTTCAGAGACTTCTCCGGTCTTCAAGCGGAGGAGTTTGAACAGAACGTCCGCACGGCGCTAGAAGCGAGCGCCCGACTGGGAATCGCTCAAGTGCTTACTGTGAAGGACGTGTGCTCTGACAACGGACCTGACAAGCTAGCGGTGAGTACACACACACATACACACACGTACGCACGCCCGCACGCGTTCACGCACACATTTCTTGACAAGCATTCAGATAAGATGTAAATTAACATTAAGCACGGCTCTCAGTTTGATTTGTGTTTTTTTTTTGTAGAAAATGAAGTATCTGTATAAAATTACAAATGTTTGAGTTCGTAGGGATAAATGTGGTTCGTTCACACAAATCCTACTGAGGGATTTTTATGATATGTTGATGTGTAAGGACACATGAGAGGAATCATATCTATTGTTTTAACATATATCATACATATTAATTAGACATGGAGAAAATTAATTCTCTCCATGTCTAATTCCCTAGCTCATCCGGACTAATTCGCGAGCAAAAATTAGTATATCTATAAACCAAAGTTACATAAAATTAACTAAAATTTTGCTTGTCTTTTATTTCAGATAATGACGTATCTATTTCAACTACGGGCTTACTTCACCGGGAATGAATTACAAGTCGAACAACTGGGTACGAAATTTTTATTATTTTAACTAGAATAACATATTTTATATAACAAACAAAGCGTTAGGTTAAATAATATTAAATGTGTTATATTTTATTAATTAAAATAGACTTATATAGCAACATAAGGGCCGTGTCTAGTCAGTGGTGGCCGAGTCGTTAAAAGGCCCGCCTCTCATGCATGAGGGCGCGGGTTCGATCCTGGCAAGTACCAATGTGATTTTTCCGAGTCATATGTACTTTCTAAGAATATTTAGACATCACTGATTAATGCATTCCCAAAGAGGGTTGATGTTAGGCAGGCGGCCGGTCGTAAAAACAATAAGCCAAGACTATTCACAACATGTAAGGCAGACCCTGGCTAAAGCTGGGAAATTGCCCGGTAGAAAAAGCAACATAAAGCAATCTGTTGCCTTAAAATACTCTATATAATATTCACATATAATATTAACATTGTTTATCTTAATGTTTCAGGTAACGATGAGACTGAGTCATCGTACTTGGTGGGGAGACATGACACTGATGAGAGTTTGCCGCCCGAACTGTTCAGTAGAGAGGTCAGCACGAGGCGCTCCAGGAACATGGGGGAGAGGCAGAGGCCGGGGTCAGTGACATACACAGGCACGCAAGCTCGCACGCACGCGTACACGCACACAGAGACACACTACAGACGTACAGAGACATGACTTGTGTTTCTTTTTAAAAAGGAAATGTTATATTAGCTTTAATAGAACCTGTATAGACTAATTGATTGTATCATGTATGTTAATTAACTGAACCTTTATTATGATTTTATTGGTTTAAAATCTGAGACGTTAAATGAAATTAATATTTTAGGATTTTACTTCGCGTTATTATTTTTGATAATAAACTACATACTCCCAACGTTTCGGCTACTTCTCAGCAACCGTGATCACGAGCAGACGAGATGTGAGTGTCACTCATCTCGTGTGACGCTCAAAATTAAAAACGCGAAATAAAATCCGAAAATATTAGTTTCATTTAAATGAGTACTCGCGAAAATCTTAGATCTCATTATCTAGGTACATTGTTATAATATACATATATCTTATCGGAAACTTCCTTCGATTTGACAATTTATTTTATTATTGTATTAGTGTGATGCATATATTTATTATCTCCAGCTGTCCTGAGTCCCGCCCATCCCAGGAGCTGTCTCCAGACAAGTCCCCCGCTATAAAGGACGTCCGAGACATGTTGCTACACTCAAAGAACTTGCTGGGGAAGATGCTGTCACCGGCCCGCGAGAGGGAGAGGCCCTCCGCCAAGTGGTTCGCTGACAGCGAGGTACACACACACAGACACACACACACAGACATACATACATACATACATACATACATACATACATACATACATGCATACATACATACATACATGCATACATACATACATACATACATACATACATACATGCATACATACATACATACATACATACATTATGTATTTGTTAATCTTGATGAAGAGATTCAACGATTTCAGTTTACAGTTGAAAATAATAATTAAGACAAATTATGCTCTCAACAATTATTTCTATTCAATACTCTGTCATGGGTGTTTTGTAATGTTTCGGTCTTGCTATTCATTCGTTATTATGTAAGGAAGGTCGGTATTTGATTGACAATATATATAAGTCATATATACATATATATGTCATATAAGTCGTATGTATGATATATGACGTCTATTGAACTATAATTTTCTTAATACATTTTTCATTATTTCCTTTTTTCGTCGGGTACAAAAATTGTATAAGGAACAAAACAGAATAAAGCTTTTTTATATTTAAAAAAAGTTTAAAAGAGGCTTGATTTTTACATATAGTATATAATCTATAAAAATGTATTTAGCTACCTCTCACATGGTCTCTAACAATATTTGTCTCAGTCTATGTTACTTACTTTAACTAAGCTATTTTATTTATTACACGGAACGTCACCTAGTGATTATGAATAAAAGGAAAGGCTCGTTTAGATTCAGGACTGGTGGTTTGATTTTACTATCATTTATACTGAAAAAATGAAATGGTTTTTATAATTTTATTTAATACTAGTAAACCCGGCGAACTCCGTTTCGCCACCAGAAGGCTTTTATATAACATTTCGTTTGGTGATTAAAAGATGAAGAATTTTTTTATTTTATATTTGGAAAGGAAAATTTTTATTTCATTTTACAACAGTAATGAATTCATTTCGATTACAAAAATGAAGTGTTATTTAGTTGAACTTCTCTAAGTAAATGAAAGTGAATCCAAAGTAGATACCGAATCGAAGCGTTATACGTGTCCGCAAATTATCCGTTTCATTGAAGTGCTCCTTTGTAAACCATATTTTTTGTTTTTTGGTCTAACTTTAACACAAATAAAGCGTATGGTTTCCAAACTCGTGAACACGCAAAATGTAACTGCCCATGTGAAAAACAATGATTTTCTAAATTTATCCCGCAAACACTAAATGGTTTTAAGAGTTCAAACTACAAACACAATACCGGTTTGTCACATGAAATTAACTGAGCAGAGAATAATGAGTAGCTGTCAAACAATGTATCATCAACCGGCACCATTTACTTAAAATATTGATTTGTAGTACATGTTATGTATTATGGCGCTGTATGTGACAAAAGATTTTCCCCCTTTTCTTGGTTCTTTCGTTCTGAAGTTATAGCGTCAGGATGGAAAGCCGAACTTATTTTTTTATAGTAGATTTCTTACAAATATCAAATTGTTTTCCATACGTCATTACATATCTGTCATTATACGTCCATTGCCTAGTTGTCAATTGTGTTTCGTTATTCCACGTTTTATAGTGACTGACGTTTCATGTCAAGTCCCACGGGAAGGCTGTCGAACGGGATAAAAAGTATCCTATTGCAATTTCCTGGTTCTAAACTACTTCCATGCCAATTTTCAGCTAAATCGGTTCAGCCGTTCTTGGGTTATAAGTGGAGTAACTAACACGACTTTCTTTTATACATATGTATAGATGAAATATATATTTATTAAAATATATAATCATAGTATTTCATAAATGTTCCAGCCTGTACCGGCGCGGCCCGAAAAGTTGATGACTCGTAAGGAACTGACGGACCCCTTCGGCTCTGATGAGGAGGAGGAGGTACCGGCGACGGGGGAGGGGGAAGGTGATGAATACTCGTAATGATTTAAACATTGAACTTTGGCGGTACCATCCCTACTAATACTATAAATGCGAAAGAAACTCTGTCTGTTTGTCTGTCTGTCTGTTATGCTTTCACGCCTAAACCACGGATCTGATTTTAATGAAATTTGGTACAGAGCTAGAGTTGACCTTGAGAAAGAACATAGGATAGTTTGTATCCCAGACTTTTGAAAGGTTCTCTTGGAAACGCGATATAACCAGACTAAAAGCGGGCGAAGCCGCGGGCGGAAAGCTAGTTATATAATATAGTATTATGCGTGTATTTTATAATGTGTCCTTCAATACAGTCTTATATTCAAATAATTTGTCTTTTTCTATAGTGAAGCAACCGGAACCAGCTCCGGAAAACCCGCCTGAAATACAACCTGAACCAGCGAAACCTGAACCGGAAGTGAAAGAAAACAAAACAGAAACCAAACCAGCCGCTGAGCTACCGAAACCAACACCAGTATGTTGATAAAATAGTAATGATTTTGCTTTGGAGTTATTAACTACTTGTATAAAAAAGTTTTTGTTTTGTGTTGCGCTTAAAGCTGTAAACAACTAAATCTAACAGTAGTTTACGCTTAGCGATCGATGATCGATGAATTTGTGATGAACAGCAACTACTGTCGCGACACGACGAGCTGAAGGAGAGAGCGAGACAGCTGCTGGAGGCGGCTAAAATAGAAGAGAGACAGAGAGAGATGGAGATAGAGGGGAGGGAGGGGAGGGAGGAGGACGGACAGAAGAAGGTTTGAATACATGAGATGGATTGTTGAATGTATAAGTGTGCTGTGATGTGCTTACTCACTGACAAGTGTGGAGTTGAAACATAGAATAGTGTTTGTGATATTTATAACAGTACTAGCTACGCGGTGTTACGTTGATTTCCGGGATGTAAAGTAGCTTATATGTTATTCCTGGACGTCAGCTTCATGTATACGAAATTTTGTCAAAATCGGTTCAGCCGTTTGAGCGCAAAGAAGTCACAAACATACCCACACACTCACAAACTTTCGCAATTATAATTTTAGTAGTATGAACGAGTTAGTTGAGTAACGTTATATGTGTATACATTCCAGAGTGTGTCAGAGGACGAGCGGCAGGCGGTGCTGAGGGAGCGGGCCAGGAGACTCATAGCGGACGCGAGGAACGGGGGAGGGGGGCGGTGAGACATACACACACACACATACACACATAGAAACATATATAGACGCAGTTAAACATACATACATACAGATAAACACACGTTCTCGTACGTACTCAAACTCAAACTCAAATAATTTTATTCAATATAGAAGCATTACACTTTCTTATTGATGGTCACTTGAGACACTACCACCGGTTCGGAAAAGAAAATACCCGGACCTGAGAAGAACCGGCGAAAGAAACTCAGCGGTTTTTTTTTATATATATTTGTCTCATATATTATAATAAAACAATTTAATATGAGATGAAATAGCCAGGAGGCGATCGTTTCATTCCCAAAGTGTGCTATCGATACACTTACACAGACGTTTTTACACGCACATTCATACACACATAAAGCTACATACACACGTTTAAACACGCACACAGACGTACATTACGACATACATTCACACACATTAACACTTGTTCATTCCGTGTGTTCCAGGAAGTGCTCCCCGTCATCCCCCGCCGTGGAGATCATCTCCAAGCAGTCCGTCATGGATGAGTTCGTGGCCGGTACGTTCATCACCCACCCTTACAAAAACACACACCATTACTGATACTTGTAGCACTCATATGTTACTTGGTCTACACAGATCAAGGATGGAAATTATTACTAAAATAAATAATATATACATATACATGTAAAAGATGAATATTTTTTATATGAATTGGAGAAATTTAGTGAAACAATAATTAGTAGTAGATATTCTACGCAAATTTTAATACACGACCATAAATATAATATGTACTAATACTGTGTAACATTGAATTGTTATATGTATCATCTTATTCTTCCTGGCAATTTCCCGGCTATAGCCAAGGTCTGCCTTACATGTTGTGAATAGTTTTGGCTAATTGTTTTTTACGACCGGCCGCCTGAGACATCAACCCTCTTTGGGAATGCATTAATCAGTGATGTCTAAATAATCTCAGAAAGTACATATGACTCGGAAAAATCACATTGGTACTTGCCCGGGCCAGGATCGAACCCGCGCCCTCATGAGAAGCGGGCCATCTAACCATTAGGCCACCACTGACTTATATGTTATATCATTATATGTATATATGTGGTATATAACTTTGTCTGTACATAATTTCCAGCAGGTGGAGTGGAGCAGCTAGGATCAGCGGGCTCTAGTCCCGGCTCTGGAAAGAGCTTGAACAACGATATAAGTGGTTAGTATTAAATATTATCATAATCAACTATTACCTTCATTAGTACTTCTTATAAGCGAGTTATATATTTATTTCCTTACGTTACAGATCCTCATAGTGATAGCGGGGCGCTGGCCGCGTTGGTTGGCCGACTGTCGCCTGACTGTCGAGAACAGGTGAGTGTTTGAAATGTTTCAAATTGAAATTATTAAAAACGACATTTAAACAATCCAAACTTGTACATTTAAAAGTGTAGAGTCGAATCAAACAGCATGTATTTCTTATCAAATTTTATTGCACAACAATTTATAATCATTAACTACATTTATTATTATAAATTTTCCTAAACCGGAAATTTAGAGTAGGTGCATATCGAACATTGAAGCGCAATTCATTGTTATGGCATGTGATGATAATGATGTACTTGTTAGATGTAATCTTTATAATGTGGAGTGTTGGTTAGAGTGGAGATTAGAATTGTATAAAATGAACATATATAAACAAGATTAGCCAGTTGACACACTCATTACCATTGGTTTAAACCAAGTGTTCTTTTTTCTAATGTACCACTAACATTACAATTTGACATTTTTTTCTGGTCGCCATTTACATTACTGATAAATTAATTATTACAATTTTTTCCAAATTATTGTACTCTTACAAGGTACATTTAATCGTATTTTTAAAAATCAATTTTAAACAAAAAAAAACATGAGTCAGCCGGATCGAGAGCTCAGCTTCGTACGGTCGCTGGAGAGGTCCAAGCGGAGGATAAAAAAGATGAAGCAGGACATTATTACGGCCGAAAAATTACATTCCACAGCCAAGAAGATTAAACTTCTGTACGAGCGTAAGAGCAAGAAGAGCATCGAACTCTCCAAGAACAGGTCTACAGTCATCAAGCTACGTAAACAGATCAAAGACGAGAAATCTACTCCCGAGAAATCACAATCGGAAGGATTACAAAGCGAAGTATTATTTTCGGAAAAGACACTAGAGGAAAAATTATTTGTCGAAATATTATTGTCCGACAGTGCACTGGTGTCCGACTCATTGTTCGTCGACGTCTCAATGTCCATTTGTGTATCGTTTACCGTTTTAGTATCTTTCAAAAAGCAAAACACTTGAGATAAGCGGACGTAATAAATAAATAAACATGGAAACTAGGATTTATTCAACAAGATGGACTCGTACCAAGTGGACATTGGTTTTTTTTTTGGTGTGTGCTAAGACCAAAAAAAAAATTTACATTCAAGATTCAAATAAACATTTAGTTTGTCCGTTTTGCGAATTATACTACAACCTTAAACAGAATTTGATCCGGCATTTGAAGAATACACATCAGGTCGTTGATAAAATCGAAATTAAGGACAGACAGGATGATTTTTTTTGGAGAAGATCCTCTTCGCAATCTGCATCCTCGTTTTATAGTGAAAGTGGCAACGGCAGTAGCGATGTCAAAAGTTTAACTTCAACATCTTCATCGAGTGGCATTAACTGTGGTGGCGGTACTGATGTTAATAACGACAGCGATTGTTTTGGTGAATTTCGTGATGGTTTTGATGGTGATGTTGTTAGAGGTGGTGGTGGTAGATTTTCATCGATACCCAAAGCCCCATCAATATTTTCAACTTGAACATTCACATTTTCCATGTTAACATCACTGTCCGCATTTGAATCTATTGTAACTTTTGCCATATTTACATCTATAACAGCAACTAATTGATCACTTATATTTTCAATATTCACATTTTTCACATTTTTGTTTACACCGACACCTGCACTAGCAACATTTTTATTTTCCAAGTGGACATTGGTACCTTTAATCTGCTGATGAGTATAGGAGACAGGAGACGAGTCGTTGATGACATTGATTTTTAAATTTCTGTTTAAGGTTGTAGTATAATTCGCAAAACGGACAAACTAAATGTTTATTTGAATCTTGAATGTAAATTTTTTTTTTGGTCTTAGCACACACCAAAAAAAAACCAATGTCCACTTGGTACGAGTCCATCTTGTTGAATAAATCCTAGTTTCCATGTTTATTTATTTATTACGTCCGCTTATCTCAAGTGTTTTGCTTTTTGGTATTTATCAGAAGAACGTTCATGTATGATTACTTCTCGGGTTAATTGATTTGGCGATTATAATGATTCTATAGATGACTTTGAAGTAACTTTGAAACATGCGCGATCGCATCATTAAGATAATTGAAATATTCTATGAAATGTTTAGAATTAATACATTGAATGATAAAAAAAAGCACGTACATATAAAATAAAAATATCATTAACTACTTGCCGCTTCCGTCACTGTGAACAGCGATAACTATTGTTATTTGTTGTACCCAATCAGTACTATATTATGAACACAATGTATCGTATGATAAAATTATTGCCGGATGCTACAAAGTGTGTTTGAGCGAACATTGATTATGATGAGAGCAAACAAAGGGACATTATTGATAGGTACCTATGTTACAAAATGTAACAATCTAACAGCAATGATAAATGTTATTTTGTAACTTTTAACAAGAAATTTATATTTTAGACATGATTAGCTTTTATGGCAACATGAATATTTGTTATTTTCATGAATCAATGGATGGTTAAAGTGTGTAATTAGTATATGTATATTTATGTAAATGTATACAATTCAAATTAATGTACTACAAATGGATATAAATGCATATAAATAAAATGCAATTTATGCATTTTTTTTTGGTTTCTTTCCCGTGACTCGTTTTTTATACATTTTTTTATAAAGACTAAAATGACAAATGAATTACAATAACGTATTTTATTTGAGATTATTATTTACGATTACACTGGCAAACAGCATGTCTGTTGCATAAGATTTTTTACATGAATCTGAATTGTTTTTCCACGCTTATTTCAAAAATATATGGCGTTTTTCTGTAGCAGCTCTAGTTTTGGAGTTATGAAGAGACAGGGTTTTTCATTAAAAATGCACGAAATTTAAGTTTAAAAAATTATTAAATATATTTATTCTGAATAAAATTTCCTTTTTGTGGATTTTCTAGAGTGAGATGTATCATGAGTACTATTTTGAAGGCTCCAACAATAACCAGCCATCATATATTCCTTCCAGTACCCCTGATACCTGTTCTCCATAGCGCGAATATCCTGTTGAAAGCGCTCTCCTTGTTCCTCGCTTAGGTCACTTAGATTTTCAGGAAAATAGTCTAGATGGTTGTGAAGATAGTGAAGCTTAATACTCATGTTGCATCCAAGCCGCTGGAAGTGTATCAGCAACTGTTCAACGTGCTGAATGTAGCCGTCAGACTTAGTATTCTCAAAAAATTTCTCACTACTCAAACAAACTCTTCCCATGCACATTTCTCAATAGCTGTCATATGGTTGATGAAATTTTTATCATCTATCAACTTTTAGACAGGCCAAGGTCCCTGATCAAGTCACTTAGATCCTCTTTATTTAGTAATCGGGGACTCTTGTCTCTACCACTGTCGTCGTTTCGGTTTGTCCGCTGCACTGGTCTGGATTTCCGAAGATCTACAAGGCTGCTGTGGTGTTGATGTATCACTAATACTCAAGACTGGTCTTACGACAGATTTTTAGTTTGAATATATCCACTTAGAGCAATTTTTATGGTTTATTCCTATGATTTTCGTTACACAAAAATAACAATCGTTATGATGGTTGGGTGGTTCACGCCATATCATGGGAGATTTGTACTTAAAATTTGGTCTTTTTTTGTTTGCCTATAATCGCAAAGATTCAATACAACTTTTACACACCAAAATTGGTATCAAAGGTTTAGCGTTTGATGGCAACGGATACCCAAACTAGTCGAAGTATGCCTTTTTTACAAAGTCTGACACACTTAAACGACATTTTTGGAATATATATTATCCGGAAATAGCACAAAAACACTCAGGATTATTTAAACACGTCCTTCTTGAGGAAGACATAATGAAATTTATAAAGAGACTAGTTAAGTTACACCGCTATTGGTAGAAACTATTGACAACTTATGTAAATTCAAGATGGACCTGTATCTGACTAAATAGAGCTGCTACAAAAAATCTGAGGTCAAATTTAAAATTAGCGCACCCAAATTAGTAAACAACAGTAGAAAAACTTCATGCAACAAAAAAAAAGTTTGATTTTGTTGTGCTGTGTTATTGACGCTAAATCACATGAACTGGTTTGTTTGTAGATTGGTGGCAGCCGATTGTTTTTGTAATCGAATATTCAATTAATTATTATTAAACATCGATAAAGTATGTAGTGATGAATTGACGTGTCAGAAACGTAAACTCTAAGCGGCCAGAATCTTAACAAAGTCGTATTTTACTCTACCGCCTGTATATATCAGCTATTCAATAGACCGTAAATATAAATAGGAGATAATTTATATGTATTAATATATGTTGTAACAGAACGAGTCCGGCTCATATCTGGCGAGTGAATTAGAAGCTTTAGAAAGAGAACAAAGAGCAGTGGATGAAACAGCTGCTAGGTTGGAGGTGCAGTTGAGGAAGGTCATGGATAAAGGAGACGACGCGAGGGTGAGGAGAGAGGGAGAGAGAGAGATATGTGTGTGCGAGAGAGACAGAAGATGACGGATATGTGTTACAGGAGGAGGACCGGCTCATGTCGCAGTGGTTCAACCTGGTGAATAAGAAGAACGCGCTGCTGAGGAGGCAGATGCAGCTTAATATACTGTAAGTATGTGATACGTTGAGTTGAGGGGAGTGGGAAGGGAAAGAGATAGATTTTTTTATGTAGTGAGCCTAGCTAAGGTCAAGTTACTATAGTTCGAACATGGCTGGCTCGACATCTCAACATCTATGTCACGGATGTCCATGGGTGAGGGTCACTACTGCCGATCAAGTAGGCCGTCTGTTCGTTTGCCACCTTTGATATTAAAAAAAGAGTTTTTATTACCACTTTACTTACGCTATCTGTAGGTTATAATTGAATGTATCTCTGTCTCAGTCTAACCAAGTGATTATTCTCTATCTCTGTCTAACCCAGTGAGCAAGAGGAGGACCTGAGTCGTCGCTGCGAGCTGCTGGCGCGGGAGCTGCGGCTGTCCCTGGGCGTGGAGGAGTGGAGGAAGACGCCCGGACAGAAGAGGAGGGAGAGACTACTGTTACAGGTGAGAGAGAGAGAGAGATAGATATATATAAAAGATAGTCGTGTTAGTTACACTATCTACAACTCAAGAATGGCTGTAGGGATTTGGATGGAATTTTATGGGGAGGTAGGCAGGAATCATTTGACGGATATAGGACACTTTCGAATTCGTTCGACCAAAAAAATAATGTACTAATAAAATCCAAAATCTGTTTATTAACTGCCTCTAAATCGAAACAATTCGCCTAATCAGCTAAAGATGTTTTATTGTGAAACTACTGCCGATGTAGTTGCGAGAAGAAACTAGTGTATATTAATAGCCATTAGTGACGTCACATGCGTGAGTCATCAATAGTAATAATATCCGTGTGTGTTGTGTGTAGGAGCTGCTGGCGGCCGTCAACGAGCGAGACAGACTGGTGCAGGAGATGGACGAACAGGAGAAAGCGTAAGGACATACATACATACACATACATTGATATACAGAAATAAGAACTCATAGTAGAGAAAATGTTGAAGTAAAACTAATATTTTGGATTTTCTACGCATTTATTACATACACATTTACATCTTGCCTGCCCGTGGTCACGGTTACCGCATAGTAACAAAAACGTCAGGAGTATGTAGTTCAAAATAATAACAAATGCGTAGTAATCCGAAAAATATTAGTTTTATTTCAGTGAATACTCGCACAGGTGTTAGATCTCATTAACATAACATTCTATTATATAAAATTATATATAAACAAAGCCTGTGACGTATTAATTTTATATTCCAGGATAGCTCAAGACGATGAGATTGAGAGGAACCTATCAAACGTTGAGATACAGAGGAAGAATAACTGTATACTACAGTGAGAACCACACGAACACACGAACATACATGTGTTGGAAACATTCATATATATTAACAAATATGTTGCTGTTACATTTAGTTGATTATCTGTATCTTACCACGAGTCTGTATTACACGAACACGCCGCACGTACAGTATGTGTGTGTGTGTCACCAAAGATCAGTAAGTGATATTGAAGTACAAGCCGTGTAAAGTCCAATGTAAATATTAGTTAAAGCTGTAATATTTATTAGCGGTTTGGTCCGTCTTGCCTAACAACGCTGAACTATTTAATTATTTTAATTTAATGTATCAAGTAAGGTAGTAGCTAATTTTTATATCGCTATGTATTTCCAATATCTTCGTGTGCCTAAATCATAAAGCTGGCCTCTTCACTCCTCTTATATTAGAAGAGAGCGACGATATCAATTGTATGTTAATTGTAATATTTGAAATCAAATCACGTGCTCTATCGAATGCTTTTGGACAACGACAGGTGCTGTAACTAGTGTTTGAGGGATTCCTTACTTTAAATGATATTTTTTAATGAATTTGAAGTTATCATTGCATTATCTGTCTGTACATACATACATACTCTGTATCTGTCAACATTATTTCAATATATTTCACGTTAGTCATATTATTTATGAATGTACGTATAATGTATTATTTAAGTGGAACATATTTTTTATATAAATCTTTTGTAATAATGTATGAGATCTCAGTTGGCTTTAGTTTTTTTACAGTTAGTTTGTGCTTGACCGGAGTGAGTCTAGTGTGTAGTTATAAGGTAGTTGTAGAACTTGTCACACACACTGTCTTCCTGGAGGGAAAAAAATAAAAAATGATTACACACGAGCTATAACATACAATATATACATATATATTGATTATTTAAACAAATATTTCATATAATTTTTTGTATGACAATAAAGTCACTGAACAGTAAAGCCATGACTCAGTTAATATAATAATGTTGTATCCAAGTAGTATGTAGTAAAGGCTCGACTCCACTAATGAATGTCTTCGCTTCGTCTCGCACTCGTGTATTCACAGCCTTTAATATTATAAAACTTCAAACCTGCATCACAACCGTCAGTTGTACTGAATACTCTGAAATGATAGTTTTTATATGTCTTAGTACGAGTGAGACGTGTAAACTGTCCGTATGTAGTGATGGTTGTGATGTGTGTTGCTGAGAGCCCGCGACTGTACTCACTGTATCATATATATTATGAAATAAAAACCTGACACACAATGTTGTATTTATTTATTCATCGTTTATTGACTATTCTTTTATGATAAAGTATGACAGGCATGTAAGTTCTTTACCACAAATAAAAGAAAATTTAGTAATTTTCTTATAATCAATACTTATATCATAAATGGGCAAGAAACTCCGGAGCCGATTTTGATGAATTTTGGTTTAGAGATAGATTAAGACAATCATAAAAAAAGAGGGAGTGAGAGTGAGACAAAACAATTTTGAATTGTAAGTATTGTTCGTAAAGGTTGTCCTAAAGAAACATTCAAAATTCCTTAAAAATATTTTTTCCTTAAACCACTTTTTTTACGTAGACGGTTACAGCTAATCCAACACACAATTTCTCAGTTTGCCTATTATTCGTATTTACATATTTTTAAAAACATAAGAATGTCTCTAATATAAAATAAAAGTCAGTGTGGTTGTAATAAAAAATTTATTCGTTTGTTACAAGCAACTGCGAGTTTATAAGAACGATACAACTATATACAGTACAAGAGTCGCTCGGTTAAAATAACGTAGTGGAAGAACCCCGTCAATAAATAATCATAAGAGTTAAATTGTCAGTTATATAAAAGTACAGTGGAGTTATAATTTATATATTTAAATTATTTCGTAGGAATCTTAATGAGCCCTGTTGTTGCGTTTATATGTATGTACCTTAACAATTGTACATGTAACATACTCGTCTCGTGTACATTGCAATTTATACACAATAATATATGTAATTAAAATGTTTATTACTTACACTAATATAGATAAAATTACAGTAAAAGAAGCACTTGGGGCTTTATTTTGGTTGTGACAAACCATTGTTTTTTTTGTAATATTTTTTATTGCAGCGTTGCCACATACATACTACTAACACTTCTACTTGACAAAGATCGCCACCTATCGGAAAACTATATGGAAGTCGACAAAACTGTAGATTAAAAAAATCTTCTGACCAGCAGAAGCAAAGATCCGTTTTGCCACAAACAATGTTGAAAACTGTACAATAATTATAATAATGTTCTTTTATTTACGTATAAAAATCTTAAACCACATTTCAAAGTTTTTTTTTCTATGAAAACACAACGCAGTTTATGTCTGGTCATTTTGTCTTATAGTATTATGAGGAATTATTCCTATATTTTCATTTTAGCGGTAAATATCCAAAACGCGATCAAATAAGCTCCTTTTTGTATGTACATTAGTAATACATCTACTTATTGTATCGTATTATTTAACTGACACATATATATACTCTAGGGTCTCGTGTGGTTGTTGTTAGTCACTGGAGGAGCTTCCGCTTCAGCTGCGGCGGCGTCAGCTTTCAATTTTTTGTATTTACCTGAAAATTTAATATGAAACATGGTCAGTACTTGAATAAGTATATGGTTAATTCTTTTAGTCATTACCAGCATTGGCTGAACTTTTATTGAAAAGGTAACTTCTGAGCAAAGGCCTCTTCTCACATAGAGAAGGTTTGAGCATTGATCACCGTGCTTGCTTAAGACTTCTTGGCGATATTAAACTCATAATTTGATTATAAGTCCAGGTTCTCTCAAAATATTTTCGTTCACCTTCTGTCAGTGTTGGCTAAATACTCTTATACAGTACATATGTCTCAGAAAAATCATATTTGTACTTGCCAGGTTTCGAACCCACGCCCTCATATATGAGAGGCCGAACTTTAACCACTAGTGTACTCACGAGAAACCTGCACCATGATAACTCCCCACCAGATGGCCCAGCCCCATCCCACCAGACAGAACAGAACAGTGAACAGTTGACTGCATCCTACTAGCAGGTTGATGACCAGGGAACCTGGGGGCAAGAGGGTGGCATTGAAATGTGTTGGACATGATACAGTTAAAGTCATAAAAAGAATAAGACATATTCTCTATTCTTCTCCAAATGGTGTTGCATTATAATCAACGCTGTGGGTAGAAATTACTTTGAAATTTGAAATTACTTTGAAATTTGAAATTTGAACTTTGAAATTTGTTAATTGTAGTTATGTTTTAAAAAGAATACATTTACATTTTATACGTTCTTAAATTTGACAAATAAGTCAAACTGAGAAAATTTTGTGATTAAAGAAATTCATAATTGAGGCATATAACATCTATTTACCAATTCTATGTTTCGCTCCGTCGTACACACCGAAACGGGGAATCCCAAAACATAGACAAAACAAGCCGCTGAATATAGTACCTGGAAAAAAATATGTCATAAAATATATACCTTTTATTTCTAAATTAATTTAAATTATTTGTCTAAGCATGTTTTCATCAATTAATATTCTTTGTTTTTACCCATATTTAATACTTACCGAGTCCCGGCAGTAGAATGTTACATATCAGACAGAAGACAGCCAGTGGTAAGGCCAGTACAGGTATAGCGCCGCGCATAGCACTCGTGTGTTCAATCAGAGTTGAATCCAACTTCTTACGAGTATCCTGAATGATGAAAACACAATTATTTTAATCATACAACAAAACACAATCATAATATCGGTTATAACTATTCGCATTTCCTAATAAAAGTTGTCTATGTCTGAGCTTAAAACATAAACCAAAGAATTCAAGTCGTGTTATTATATTTTCTTGTCCTTGAATAATAATTTTATCGTTTTTAAATTGTAAGCTGTAGATTATTTTAGCAGAAAATACGATAGTCAATGTAAACTGTCTGAGCTGAATGTAGTTAAACAAAATAAAGGTATATATATTGTAGTCTTGTTCACATTTTCACCACAAAATATACAGGGTGACTGGTGAATTACTATCAATATTTAAAGAGCATACTCGGTACATGATTCTCATTCGAATTATGTAAAAAAAATAGGTACTTAATTTTTGACCAAATTTCCGTATAAATAAATAAAGTGTGTACACGTTCCAAGTGTTCCAAGTGTGGACGCGGGCGGCGGCGTGCTGATACAACAACACGCCGCCGCGCGCGTATGTGTGAGTGTGTGTGTATACCTAATCTGTAGGGTGTTCATACGATACGTAATTAATTACATAACTTTTGGTTAACTTTACTTAGAAGTTTATTAATATTTATGTTATATTAATTTTTATTTTGTCATATATGATCGTCAAATATCACGTCCTCAAATATCGATAGTAACTCACCAGTCACCCTGTATAATTTAGTGGAATATTCGAACAGTTATATTGTTATGAACACTATTTTAATAAATTTCACGCCAAAATCGAATCATCTGAAAAATTCATTTTGTTTTAGGATCACATTAACCTAACTAAATTTTTCACGCAAAGGTTGAAAGGTGAAAAGCTTAAGATTCCAATTCATTTTTTTAACTAAAGAGAAGTCTATGACACTTTCTGACTTCGTTTTCTTGTAAAAAAACAGTCACAAGTTATCAGAACTAATATAAAATTATATTCTTATAAGTCTTTAATAAAGTACCAACCTCATCGTCTTCACTGAGTAATGTTATGTCACTCTTTTGATCATCAGTTAGAACTATTTTTGGTTTCGGTGATGGAAGTGGTGAAGAAATATCCTTTAAGGATGATGACCTCATTTCACTGAATTAATTAACCAACGTAAATACTTGTATGCGAGTTGCATGGAAGGTTTGTGCAAGAATGGTCTAAACAGGTGTAATGAACGACGAAATGTTATTACACTATTAAAATGATTAAAATCAATATCCATTGGTTATTGTTGTGTGACTTCCAGGACCCATTTGTTATATTAAATTGGCAGACACACACACACTAAAAGGGTAATATTTATATCAACTACAAGTTTAATAATGGTCTTGGTTATGTTAGTACGTAATGTATTTTGATCTTATATATAAAGAAATAGTATCATTAATTATTATTAATAGGTAAAATGATCTGCATCATTGTGAAATGGATTTAATTTCAATGTCATTTGTCGCTTTATAATGGTAAGTCATTATTTATATTACAATGTATGAGATGACGTGTAGTGCGACTTTTATTAAAATATGATTATTAATGTGTTTGTGAATAGCAACATAGTATATTATAATAAATCTATCATCATCATCATCAGCCTATCAGAGTCCACTGCTGAGCAAAGGCCTCTCCTCACATGGAGAAGGTTTAAGCATACACCACACTTGCTCAAGACGGGTTGAAGAAGGTTTCAAACTTACAATTTGAAATTACAAGTTTTCCTGACGATGTTTTTCTTTACAGTCTGTCAGTGGTGTCATAATAATCCTAGAATGTACATATGAGTCGAAAACTCACATTGGTATTTGCCAGGTTTCGTACCCGCGCCCTCATGCACGATAGGCGGGCCTTTAACCTCTAGGCCATTACCACATTTGGCTATCTAGCAATCTTTAAACTATATTTTTCTTTCGGAGTCACCTGTCCACAGTTTCTCTATGACTGTTTGTAAGCCTAAAAGCTCTTTCTTATTCTATTATGAAAGCTACATTTCGTTAAACTTCTTTAAAATCCCTTCCATATTTATTTTATTTTAATAATAATGCTTTAAATCTTAAATTTTTCTGCACAACATGTATGAAATTGTTTTAGCAGAATGTAATTATAGTTATAATCATGAAGTCTTGAGCATAATTCATGTACGATGAAGAAAATTATAAGTTGAGCTAACGTCGCGTGTCACAACTAAATGTCGGGGGTTCATGTACTGTAGGTAGGTAGTGTGAAGTGAATTAAAATCATATTATACTACCGTAGAATTTACTTTATATTAGTTTTTGGAATACTCATAGGAGAAATACATTATTGTTATTAGTCAAAGCTTCGTATGTCTTTAAGTTTTTCGTTGCGGACCGTACGAATAGTTTAAGTAATTCGACACGCAATAACGTTGTATTATTCAAGGACTTTCTTAATTCTAGCGACCAGCGAACATTCTACATGTGCGTCCTTCGTAACGATGATTAACCTGGATTTCTTTATGTGTTGAATTTCCAGGTCAGCTACAGGTGACGCATGGACACGACTTGTTTTGTTTTAAGTTAAACTATTTGTTTTCATATATTACTCCGTTGCTTTTCAACAACATTTGATATTATTTTCTATCACTTTACATTTTATTTTTAAACTTATTTTAAAACGTTCCTTATATATAAAGCTGTGTTCTTTGTACTCCGTGCTATGTAAATGACTTATCAAATCGATCCAAAACTTCATATTTTTCATACAAATCCTAACAACATGTATGTATATTTTAAACCACTTTATCTATCTTTTTATTGACCTATATACACATTCTTACCTCAGGCGGAAGGGTTGGCGACAGGCTCTTGTTCTTGGAGAACAGACTGGTGCGACGGCTTGAAGAACCCTCGGAGGAGCGACGACAAGCACCAACGATCCAGCGGTTGAAAGCGCTGCAGCAGCTATAAGGGAAGAACAGTTTTTTTCATGTGAATCCTGGTAAACGAGCAGACGGCCTACTTGATGGGTAGTAGTCACCGTCGCCCATGGACGTCTGCAACATAGATGTTGCGGATGCATTGCTAACATTAGTTGTAAGGTATAGGGAGGGAATAAAGAAATGATAGGAAAGGGTCGGAACAGGGAAAGAGCCACCGGCTCTCTCACTCATCGGACGAAACACAGCCATTAAACACTACTTCACGCCGATCTTCTGTGAGAGGGTGGTACTTCCACGGTCGAGCCAGCCCGTGTTCGAGCTGTAGTTACCTAACCACAGCTAGGCTACCTTCTAAACAGTAGTGAAGATTCGTAAAGTATTCCCTGAAGGACTGGTGATATATATTAATATCTAACGTGGATGTCGGCTGCTCGCTGAGGATGCTGTCCCTCCTCTCGACCTCCCTCCTCTTCCCACAGCATCCTCCCTCCTTGACCACGTCTGACGTCGTGACGGGCGGCGACACGTCCACGGCTCGCGGCTCCGACACGTCAGCGACACGGTCCCGTCGACAACACCCACATAACACGTCTCGTATTTTACGTTTTCTTTTCGTTTCGCTTTCAAATTCTATCGTAGTTCCCTGGTGAGAGAATTTTGATGTTTACGTATAAATAAGAATGAAAAAATGTACGAATTGAAAATTTTTTATTCGAGAAAACTATCTTCCAACGAGTACATTTTTGTAACAGTCTCTATACTACACCTTGCTTGATATGACAATGTTATTTATCTTATAATTGCAACAATACAAACTCTCACAAATTAAAACGTAAAATTTTCTTTATGAGATGGAAGAATACTGATTTTTTTTAGTTAGTTGTTGACGGACATCAATTAAAAATTTCACTAACAATTCATTGTTAATTTTGGATGAAATTAATATTTACTACCTGTGTATCTTAATTTGTGATCAACAATTTTGCTTATTAACTTATCTTGGTTCTGTTTCTGTATAATACTTACTTTCCCAGCTGCTGCCTCAATATCTTCATCAGGAATCTTCTTCTTGAAGCAGTTCAATCTCTGAAGGAAGTGTTTCTTCGCTGGTTGTTCCTCGTCTAAGTTTCTTTCTTCTATCTCGTTTTGTGTTTTGGTGCAACAGGAACATGCAGTTCTACATTTTCCCATAAACCTGGTACAAATGTTCGTCTTGGCTGTTTCTTCTTTGGGTTCCTCTGTCTCTTGAGCTGGTGGTGATTTATCTTTTGATTCTCGATGAGCTCGCGGCGGTGGTTTTGGTGTTGTGCTTGTACTTTGAGGGAACCTGTCCGATATTGTTTAATGAGCGAATAAAATTCAATAGAAAGGAATTAGTTTGAATTATGATTAGTAAAGTATGGTAAGTTAACTTGAAGGAAAGATGTAGAAACTTGGAGTTAAAGTTACTTTTATTATGGTTAGTTAGTTTATTTTAATTTATTTGTTCAATATTTAACCAGTTTAAATATGATTAGAATAATATATGGAGACTCTTATATATAAAGAAATATCAAAATTATATCAGTTAAACGTTTCATAAAGGAAATATTTAATAATTGAAACAAGAATAATTATGATTGAAATTTTGATCAAAGTGTTCCCATAGCATTGTAGCAGAAATACACGTAAGACATGATTCATGATTGTTGTAACTTATATTTTTGTGTATTATTTTAATTTATCACCAATTTTACCTCATAAGAGCTGATTCACCGCCGAGCCTAAAAATAATAATGACAAAGTTAGTTAATTGATTCTTAAATATCTTTTTATTTATTAGTATTAAAACAACATTAAAAAAGCACGAAATCTTTTATAATTCTATATACCCATTATTATCGTTGTATCTCTTCGGTAGTAATTCGTTTGGCAATATATACACTGTTCTATTGTGAATCATGTTTGTTTATATTAATATTTGCTTTCTAATATTTTCTTTAAGTATTAAGGTACATATTTTATATCTAATTGTAGTTAAAATGTAGCCTTTTATTTAAGCCGCATAAAAAATTAATACGAAGGAGTTCGGACTCGAATTCAACAGCAGTCTGTGTATCACTATCATCGTTATCCGCTTGTCAAATCGCACAGATAATAAATATATGTCACTGTCAAATTTCCCGCCATTTTGTAGGCGACGCGTGTCCAAGGCGGCCGAGGTCGAACTAGCGTGAACTAATTCTTAAGGGTCGACTTGTTAGCATCGAGTGCTATGCGATCTGTTAAGGAATTGTTTGAAAGAATCGCTTTATGAACGACATTTTATTGTAACAACTCATGAAATATTAACTGAATTTTATTATTACAATCATATTTAAGAATAAATACGTCTTATTGTGATTTCAGAGGAGAATCGTATGCTTTATAAATACGTAAATAATAACAAAATAAGGTCAACGGAAAGTCATATGCATAATATTAATATGCTTACATAAAATTTAAAAAATATTGAATAAAAATTTAATACATTTGTATAAAGAAACATATATATTATTAAAATGTAACATAACGGTTTAACAAATTTCTTATAAAATTTAATTGCTTCAAAGTATATAATTTGTTTAGTTTGAAAAGAAATTAATCCGTCGCATACTAATAGGGCTGACAGGGTTTTGTAATTTTTAGCGCAGCGGAAATTAAATAAAGGTAAAGTGATTCAACGAAAATAAATTGGGCTATTATCGATAGATAGTAATATATTAAATTATACAACACTTGCTTTTAAACTGATTAAAATGAAAAGAAGCGCCCGACGTGGGGCAAACAAAGTGTTTCCATATTAAGTTTTAAAAAATCTACTGTTTATTATTAGATAAGTAAACTGTAACAAGAAGCAACCCTTGTATGTTATTATGAAGGCAGTCACGATACCGCTCGATACTTACAATTTATAAATAAGCTTTACTGCTATGGAAATAAAGACTATATTACTTGATTTTATAGCGACTACATTTAGCACGGTCAGTTACAATATTAGAGAAGTTTAAAATTATTATGTATTTCGGGGTTTTTAATTTTCTTCATCCTTATTCACAATTATTTATATATAATACTACGTGATATTTTATCGTTTCGTACGCACCTTTGGCTCGGAAATGATTGGAAAAGTCTACATTATGTAATAATTAATAACAGCGCCATCTAGTGTCTAATTTCAATAAAATAGAATGTATTTAAATTTTCATGTGTTTATGAGTTATGACTTCTCATTATAACATTTTCAATGTTTTCATTATCTTCAAAATATTCTAAAAAATCATGAATTTCCTTATTAATACTAATAGTCATATATAACTTATATTTCAAGGACAAAATCAATCCACGTGGACTTTGTAGTTGAACTTTGAATTAGAATAGAAGTCACGCTTTACGGTTGATTTGTGTTTCCTAAGAAAAGTGTTTTTGTTTAAAACTAATTACACATTGTTAATGTTTAAAGATGGTTGATGGGAATTTTCGCATTTTTATTCAATAATATTATTAAATGTCATTGGTTACAAAAGAATCGGAAGGTTTCAATTCAGAATTATTACGTATACTTATTATAAAAGTTTGGTTAAATATGAGAATACAATATTAGTATCAGTATTAAAAGTATAATTTAAAAAATTCTAATGATATTTCCTTTATTAATACGTTCGCAATTATAATCCATATTTTTGTTTTTACTGCATTTTATTAAAATTATTTATACAAGTGGAATATAAATATATTTAAATTTTGAACTAAACAAATAAATTATGTGAGAAATAATTAATAATTTAGCCATATCTATAGCGCTAAGATTAGATTTCTTTTCTTGTACAGCCTGTCAGTTTTTGGTGCATATTTGTGTACCACAAACAATTATGCTTATAAATAAAAGAAAGTCGTGTTAGTTACACTATTTATAACTCAAGAAGGGCTGTATGGGTTTGGATGAAGATTTGTGGAAAATTGGTGAAAGGATATAGATTACTTTTCATCCGTTTGAAAAAGTAAAAAAAATAAGTTAGTCAAATCCAAAATATTCTTATAAACTATCCTTATGGAGGAACAGAGTTCACCCGGTCCGCTATACATTTATAATTCTGAAACAAACGCAGATGAAGTCACGGGCAAAACTAGTATGAAATAAAAATTAACTTAGTTTTATAACATTGTCAGCAAATATTAATTATACTTATATGATATTAATAATCAGTCTCTAGACTATATTCAAATATTTATTAACGTAGAAAGCCAAGATATCCCAAGTGTATATTTTCCCTGTTCACATGTAGCGGTGTGAATACACAACTATTATATAGAAAGTAAATAATATAATTGTTAAGGAAATGGGAGTTATGAGTTAAATGAAATATAGTTGAGTGAAAAGACTTTTTACTAAATACTAGTAATTAGTGATGAAATACTTTTCTACAGAAAAATAGGAGTAATTGTATATACTTGAAAAGTATAAGATACATGTTCTAAAGAATATCATTAGTTTGACTTAAAGAGAAAATCAATTTTTCTTATAATGATAGACTTGATATGGGTATTTTATGTTATAAGCCATGTGTTACGAATAGACTAGTTGTAGGATAAAGACGATATATGTACATACTCAAATGTGATAAGAATCTAATTTGAAATTAGTGCCTTGTTTTATAGATACATGTAGATAAATGTATCAAATCTACGGAGACAACTACAATACTTTGAACTATAGTGAAACAAACTTATCTTGTATATAGGTACATGTTAATAACGAGGATTTATTACATAATTATTGTTTATATCAGATGTTATACATTTGAAATAGTTTGAATCGACTCACCCTCCATTGCTGTGAGATTTCTCTGATGTTCCGTCAGCCTTCTTCGTTCGGGCTCCAGGGGTTGACAAGTTAGAGCTAAGAACCTCGACCTCTGGCCCTCCCTGTACTAAAGTCTCAGTCATTCTCTCCACGTCCGCCTTAACCTCCTTCCTTCGTTCACTCACTACCTTTACTATCGGTTCTATGTCTTTTTTAATCTCGTCTTTAGTTTTTTCCATTAATTCTTTCGGTTCTTCAACTGGTGTTATGATGCTGTCGACTATTTTGCTCGCTTCCTTTTTGAATTCTGTAATTTCTTCGGTTTGTTTTTTTATTTTTTCTTGTTTTTCTATTATATCGCTTTTTAATGATTTAATTGACTCTCTGGCTTTGTCAGCAGTGGCTTTTGGGGTTTCCTTCGGTTTTGCTGCTGCTAAAATGTTTTCTGTTGATATTTCGGGTTCTTTTAATATGGAATCTATTTTTTGTTTCACTCTCTCTACTTGAGGGTTGTTGTAAGGCGGCTGTAACGGCCTAAGTTTGACACTTTCATCAAAAGCTTTTTCTGACTTGGTTTTTGATGCTCTCTTTTCTTCTTTTTCTATTTTATTTTCTTCTGAAGTTTTAGTAACTTTTTCATCTTCCACTCCTAGTAATGAATCTTTAGAACTGATTCTTTCAATCTCCGCCTTTTCCCTCGCTTTTTCCAAAGCTGCTGGTAGCTGGTTCGTCACTGTCGTTACAACTTCTAATGGTTGAGAGGTAATCGCCGCAGTGGTCATAGAGACAACATTTTTCTTAGTCATTATAACAAGTTCTTCCGTGTCGGCGGGCTTTTTATCGTATTGAGTTTCGTTGTCATGTTTTTCGATCGAGTCTCCAACGTTAGCATCCACTTTATTATCTTCGTCTTTCTTGTCTTTATTTTCAATGATTTCGTTTTTACTGTCATCTGTTTTCATCACCATTCCTTCAGTAACTTCGACTTTGGATGTCACTCCGTTCTTTTTACTTACTGGTTTCGATTTTTCAGTTATATCCTTTTTACTCGATTGTCTACTTAAAGGAGGCTTCTCATTTAATGCTTTAGTGCTTGGAGCTCTGCTTAAATTTTTTACGCTGCTGGTTCTACTTATAGGTTTTTTAGGCTCAGATTTATTGGCAACGGGAGGTTTCTGAGTGGTACGTGTATTAGGAGTCTTTGTTGCAGTTTTAGTAACACCATTCATTTTAGAAACACCAGTACTCGTTTTACGTTTGTCTGGACTGGCGTCACGACTGGTAACTTTACTGGCCTGTCTGGAATTTAATCTAGAAGCAGCCGGAGTACTGCCAGCGGCTTTAACAGGTTTAGTACCTTTGGTAGCTGTTGAGTTAGCAGTTATTTTTGCTGACGGAGGCTTAGAATCTTCCAGAGGACTTTTACTTGGTGTTCCAACTATGGGAGATAATCTTTTTGGGTTTATTGATTTATTGGAAGGAGGTGGTCCAATTCTGCCAGGAGAAATCGGTGGCTTATTCTTAATATTAGTCGGTCCGATATTCAAAAGATCAGTACTTTGACTCGCCCTTTTGTCATGAACCGTGCTTCCTATCCTTATGGACTCGTGAATGCTACTCGTACTGTTTGATATATGCCTTTGATTTTTTGAAAAGCTTTTATCCATAGATTGTCTTGAGTTTGACCTGGTTGGAGAAACCGAATTTTGTCTCGTTGGTATTTTAGAATGTTTCGGAGATCCATTACCAGATTGAGGTTGAGATTTTGATATCGATCGAACTCTAGACCGATGAGCTACAGGTTTCCCTCCATCTTTGTTAAGGTACTCAGAACTCCTAGCTTCGAGTAGAATAGCTGATGGTGAGTTAGATCTTGATCGTAAAATGAATTTGTTAGGCGAACTGCTTCGAGAATTCGTTCTGGAGTTTACTACGCTTTTTATTTCACCTTTTTTATCTATTAGTCCCATTTCCTTCAACAGCGCTATTTCTTCTTCTACTTTCTTCTTCTCGGCCTCTGCTTCATTCTTTTCTCTGTTCAGTTCACTGAGTTCTCTTATTTCTTCCATGTTTTCTTTAAGAAAATCCCGCGGCGGTCTATGAACCGGGCCCGGCGGGGGTAGTGTAGCCATTTGAGCCATTTTGTCAATTCGTGATAGCGAGTGAGTTCTTCGTGGCGGTGAATTTGATCTTGAATTGGCAGCTGATGTTTTTGGCGTATTGTGGCGTGATGTTTCTTCTCTGAATCCGCGACCTTGAAAGAAAATTAAACATTTATTAAACCACTGATAGGACAAAAAGCTGAGGTATACAATGTTAGACCTGAGACTATCTTTGATTTCTTAAAATAACAGTTTATAATTAGTTAGTCAATGTTATTTTGATATATGAATTTACCATTTACTAACCTTTAAAAGGTGAAACTCTCCCGGGTCTTATCTCGACTGGTAGTGATCGTGGGCTGTTCGGTCTCGAAGGTTCAGCGATGATCGCGAAGGAGGTCTCGCCTTTACGTTTTGATGGAACTGTTGTACTGGAACAGAGATAATGTGTGATAATTATCATATTTTGAGGCTCTTGATGCTTTTAAATCACTTATAATTCATCAGATAGGTATTGGATCTAATAAACCTAATTTATGAGTATAAAATCTTGTTTAAAACTTATACATAAATTTCTAAACAATTTATGAGTGCAGGGTAAATTTGATAATAATTTAAATTTTGAACTATATCATTGTTATTCACATGCTCCATTTCAGATTTCTTTTGATTAATTAATGTATTTTGTAATATATAAATATATATTTGGTGGTATGTATGAATTATTAGTGTTTAATAAAGCATTTTTTTATTACTATTGTTTATAATATTATAGAAATACTATTGTAATATAGTGTCACAAGAAAAAAATATAAATGGTCATTTGAAATGTATCTTATTTATTATGAAAGTTATTCATGTTTGTGATATTAAAATTTATGAAGAAAATTCACCAAAGAAAATTATACCGAGGCGTGTATTAGTAATATATTTTCCCTCCATGAGACCATTTTACATGAAATATTGAGTATATGATGACCTTCATCAGTTCTGAAGGTTTTTCTTTTATTTGACGTTTAATCTTTACCTATAAAAGTAATTAAAAACATGTTGACCTATAATGAATTTATAACACTCTTTATTATTAAGTTTAGTTATAACGTATCCTAAAAATTATATAAATATTTATTATACTTAAATGAAACCAATATTTTTCGGATTTTTCTTCGCGTTTTATTTTTGATTAGAAAAACTACATACTCCCGACGTTTCGGCTACTTTTCAGCAACCGTGATCACGGGCAGACGAGATGTCAAACATGTGATCACGGTTGCTGAAAAGTGGCCGAAACGTCGGGAGTATGTAGTTTTTCTAATCAAAAATAAAACGCGAAGTAAAATCCGAAAAATATTAGTTTCATTTAAATGAGTACTCGCGAAAATCTTAGATCTCATTATTTATTATACTTTCTTCTACCTGGCAATTTCCCAGCTATTAGCCAGGGTCTGCCTTACATGTTGTGAATAGTTTTGGCTATTTGTTTTTACGACCGGCCGACTGTTTGACATCAACCCTGTTTTGGGCTCTTTTAATAAATATTTATTATATAATTTGATGTTATTGCTTCGAGGTTCTTTGTAAGAAAATTTTCATACAAATTTCCAATCTTTATTTGTATTGATATCATTTAATAGATTTCTTGATATACTCTTATAACTGATTTTGTTGGTTGGTAAGCAGAGAATTTTAAATAAATTTTTCTTTGAACAACGTACTCGTATTTTTGGTAAACATAATACGTTTTACTTGAACAGTGTTTTAGCACTAGTATTAGTTTCCACTCTTTTATTAAAATACACGTAGAAATGTTTATGAGTTCAAAACTGGTAACAGTCTAATATGTATATTTGATTATCCAAGGTAAGGTAAAGTAATCATGGTAAGGATAAAAGACTAGGTTATACGGCAATGTAAATAATTAAAGAAAATTGGTTGATAAGAAATAATACGAACTGAAATATAGAAAAAGAATCTAGAAACTGACAGCTATACTATCAGATATATTATATTATAAGAGTAACATTTGTAATAAATAATAAATTAAATAGTAACATATATAAGAAGGAACATTACAGTATTAAATAACTAGACAGTAAACAAAATGAATTAATTCATATAATTCAGTTTCTTACGCATTATTGTGAGCTATAGAAAACTTATATAGTAATATGTTACATCATATATAATGACATATATATACTTTAGTCAGTGGTGGCCTAGTGGTTAAAGAGGCCCGCCTCTCATGCATGGGGACGCGGGTTTGAACCTGGCCCGGGCAAGTACCAATGTGATTTTTCCGAGTCATATGTACTTTCTAAGAGTATTTAGACATCACTGATTAATGCTAATTCCCAAAAGAGGGTTGATGTCAGGCAGGTGGCCGGTCGTGAAAACATATAGACAAAACTATTCACAACATGTAAGGCAGACCCTGGCTAAAGCTGGGAAATTGCCAGGTAGAAGATATACTTGTATCAAAAAATAATGTCTCATATTAAAATATGCCCGTTAATTAATTTGTTATGTTATTTACTTAACAAAAATAAATTTGTTTCAGCATCCTTCCACAACATCGACGCTTCATATAAAAATAATATTCCAAATATTATAATATAAATAGATTTAGATACTTAATTTTTTTAATAAAAATTATTGAAATATTTTCTTTACTTAAAAAACCCCTAATATTCATTGTGTTTTCGCGATTACACTAGCGAGCATGAATCACTTGTTCGACTAATACGGCAACATGACGTCATTGTGGAAAAGAGATGATACTCCGATACTACTGAACCTATATATACCAATTATAACTAAGAACCAACATAAGGATAATTACTTTCAAATAAAAACAACTATATCATAATCGAACCGTCCATTTTAGAGCTACAGTGTCACAAACAGACACACAAGGATAAGGACGTCAAACTCATAACATTTCTTTGTGTTGGTGGTTAAAAGGTAAAAGAATTTGTTTACATATTATTCTGGTACTGGAAAGATCCAGAGTTGGATTTATTAACAATGGAAAAATCTGGAATATATTGATCAGATAAGGGTTAAATATTGTTGTGTAGTCTTTGTAATATTGAGATTTTTTAATACATTTTCGTTTCATTAAGAGTTCCGTAGTTCTACCGGATCACGGCTGACCGATTCGACCTCAAATGAAGTCAAGAACAAGTCCTTGTGTACTGTAATTTATAGTAAATGACGTGTTTCTAAAAGTTATAGTTTTACTGAAGGATTTTGTATCAATTGATAGTCGACACATTCCAGGACTTCACTTATTGTTTGCTTAAAGACTTACAGAGTCTTTTATTTGAATATATACGACTTGTTTTGAAAATTAAACATCAAAATGAATAAGTAAAAAGAATAATTTCATACGAGAATGTTGTGTGTATGTTAATATATGTATATTTGGGAAAGGGCCCCTAAAATTGTGTCAAACGGAAGATGGAATGGCCGCTTGAAGGTCAGTAGAAGAAGCCATTTAAAGTAGGTTGTGTTTTTATGGGTTAGTATTTATTTTGGTAATTTAACTAACAGACCTTAGCACAGTCGCTTGGAAACATAGTATATGTATATATCTTTGTTTATATATACTTATAACTAGCTGACTTGGCGAACTTCGTACCGCCCTATAATCAAGAATTATCTGTTACCTTTTTATCTCAATGAAGTTAATTTCTTTAATAAGTATAACTGACTCGATAGACAATGTTCTGTCTTCTAAACTGTGGTTATTGAATTGTAATTGGTATATTAATAAATCTAAATTATCTCAAAAACAGTGTTTATTATTCTAATGCTTTATTAATTCTAAAAACGTGAATATTATGTACTGCCAGTGAGAAATTATTTTAATAAAAAATTAAATATTCCAGTAATTATTTTTCTAGTATTTTTTGTAATTTTTCTTACATAATAACCTTCTCCTAATAATAACAAATACAATAAAAAGAATTAGTAAAATCAGTCCAGCCATTCCCACGTGATACCGTGACCAAGGGAAAAAGGGATTCATTTCTATATATATAGAAATAGGTATCTATTAAGATAAAATACACAACTAATAATTTTGTTAAGTTTAAAAAACTTTAATTATGTTTTAAGTTAACAATATTTATATTAAGGGAATTCGTTTATTTGTAAATCTTTTAGGATACAACTGCTGTACCGATCTACATTGGATTTTGCATAAATTTTGTCAAGTACGTAGACAAGGTACAGGTAATTTAGGAATTATAATAAAAATTTTGTAATTAGTTTCTTCTAATATTTTCTGTAACATAATAAAGAATTTATTAATAAAAAATGAATGAGATGATATATAAAGTATTATACATATTTTAAATAATGATAATTGTTTATTATTAAAAGTCTAGTATTAAATAATATCTACAATATCTTCAAGTAACAATATTCATTTTGATACTTTAAATAATTTTATTATGGGAATAAATGAAGTAGTAATATTAATTGGTAGGAATAACTACAACATGTAAGGGATGCTCCACTTGGTACAAACCATACTGTCATGGCAATCATTCCGCGCATAACTTTCGCCGTTTACGCGTCGGTGGATACGGGAGAGGATTCACTAACAGGCGGTAGCGGAGGCGGAAGCGGATTAAGAATTTCATGATTTCCATACAAAAAAGGAATTCAGTATAACATTTTAATATGATGTTCTCATTTGGAAAAATATATAATTAGTTTAAAAGTTTGTATATTTGTATATGTCTAATAACATTTCATATATACATATGTATATTTAAAATGAATTATTGTGAGTCTCAGCCGTACCTAGTAAATGTTCAAACCTAGTAATTATAGTTTAATTAATAAATAAAATTAATTACTGGATGTTATTAACAAGTTACTGCACGGCGCTGCTCTTTATGATACGTAATGAATATCTTTGTTCATGAGAAATAAAAATTATAAATTACATATCTACATTCTTCTCAGACTGTTCATATTTTTTGGGATGTTTCAAACTGGACTGTACAGTATAAAATTATAATAACTTAGATTTAATGAACAATAAGTTTAAAAGTCTCTACAATCAACTACAATACAATACAACTCTACAATCTACTAAAAATTTTTGGTCTGTTCAGAACTAATATCAATTCATTCTTGGAACGCTCTTCAAAGGCAACCCTAGTATGTTCTTTTCGAATTTGGTTAGGTAGAAAGAGGAGCTTGGACAGTGGAGGTGAGCATTTAACGTGCGTTACATAGGGACCCCTAAAATTTACACCTGGGACGCAAGTCCCAGGCACTGTTGAAGCTCCTCTCCCTACAACAATGAACCCGACACACGCATGGTGAATACATTGAATGATAAGAGGTTTCGTCTTTGTAATTAGGTGATTTCAACCATGAGAAAGTTAAAATATAATCATGACATTGAATTTGT